GATGTGATTAGGGAGGAGGGATTTTGGGGAGGTGGTATAATGTCCTTATAAAAGAGACTCCCTCTCTCCTCCACCACGGGGAGGACACAGAGAGAAGAGGGCTATGAACCAGGAAGCCAGTCCTCACCAGACCCTAAATCTATCAGGATCTTCGTCTTGGACTTGCCAGGCTCCAGAATTGTGAGAAATAAATTTCTCTTGTTCGTGCCGGGACTGGTTTGGCTCAGTGGATAGTGTCGGCCTGCGGACTGAAGGGTCCCGGTTTCGATTCCAGTCAAGGGCATGTACTTTGGTTGCGGGCACATCCCCAATTGGGGGTGTGCAAGAGGCAGCTGGTCGATGTTTCTCTCTCATCGATGTTTCTAGCTCTCTGTCCCTCTCAATTCCTCTCTGTAAAATCAATAAAATATATTTTTTTAAAAATTTCTCTTGTTCATAAGCCACTAGTATTTAGTTTTCATTTACTGCAGCCCAAATGGACTAAGACACTCCAGGGCTTCAAAAGACTGGTTTCTCACCAGTCAGGATTTAGCTGAAAGCTCCCCTTCCCTCAGACGTTCCTAACCCCAAAGCCAATCTTGCTCTCCAGCCATTTGTTATCATATCACCTGGTTTTGTTTTCTTCCCAGGACATCAATATCTGAAGTTATTTTATTTGCATGTTTGTTCATGGTCAGAGTTCTCCCCGCTCCTCTAGTAATGTCCACTCCTTGAAGTGTGAGATACGGCCGCCTTGTTTCCTGGTATATTCTCAACCTCTAGGAAGGCTGGCTCATAGTAAGTGACTAATAAATAGTTGTTGAATGGTGAATGAATGAATGATGGTTGACTGGGAGGTCCTTCAGAGAAGGATTGGGTCTAAATAATAATAATAATAATAATAATAATAATAATAATAGTTATAATAGCTATTGAACCTGACAAATGTACTAAGCTCTACAGCAAGTGCATCTCATGATTATCTCATTTAATCTTTTTAAAAAAATATATATTTTATTGATTTTGTACAGAGAGGAAGGGAGAGAGATAGAGAGCTAGAAACATCGATGAGAGTCATCGATCAGCCGCCTCCTGCACACCCCCTACTGGGGATATGCCCGCAACCAAGGTACATGCCCTTGACCGGAATCGAACCCGGGACCTTTCAGTCCCCAAGCCGACGCTCTATCCATTGAGCCAAACCAGTCTCAGCTCATTTAATCTTTAGGACAACCCAATAATGTAGGAGCTACTAGTATTTTTAATTCCCATTTGTCAGATCAGATCAAACTTAGAGGAGTTTCATCACACAGCTAAGGCTAGATGCTGATTTTCAAAGTGTTGTACCTAAGGAGCCACAGCTTCAGCATTGCCTAGAAATCTGTTAGAAATACTCTTTCTTGCCCTAACCAGTTTGGCTTAGTGGATAGAGCGTCGGCTTGTGGACTGAAAGGTTCCAGGTTCCATTCCAGTCAAGGACATGTACATTTGTTACTGGCACAACCCCAGAGGGGGGGTGTGCAGGAGGCAACTGATCAATGTTTTTCTCTCATTGATGTTTCTAGCTTTTAATCCCTCTCTCTTCCTCTCTGTAAAAAAATCAATAAAATATGTGTGTGTTTTTTTAAAAAGAAGAAAAAGAAATACACTTTCTTGGGCTCCACTCCAGACATACTGAGTCAGAAACTCTGGGGTGGAGCCAGCAAACTGAATTTTAACAAACCCTACAGGTGATTATGATGCACTAGTGTGAAAAACCCTGGGCTGAAAGATGAGCTTGGAGTCTTATTTATTTGTTTTTGTTGTTGTTGTTGTTTGTTTTGTTTTAAATATTTTTTTTTATTGATTTTGTACAGAGAGGAAGGGAGAGAGATAGAGAGCTAGAAACATCGATGAGAGAGAGTCATCGATCAGCTGCCTCTTGCACACCCCCTACTGGGGATTTGCCCGAAACCAAGGTACATGCCCTTGACCGGAATCGAACCTGGGACCTTTCAGTCCCCAAGCTGACGCTCTATCCATTGAGCCAAACCGGTTTTGGCGGAGTCTTATTTATTTGTTAATCCTCACCTGAGGATATTTTTTCCATTGTTTTTCAGAGACAGTGGAAGGGAGAGAGGGAGAGGTGGAGAGAGAGAGAGAGGGAGAGAGGGAGAGAGGGAGAGAGGGAGAGAGGGAGAGAGAGAGGGAGAGAGAGAGAGAGAGAGAGAGAGAGAGAGAGCGCGAGCGAGAGAGAGCGAGAGAGAAACACATCACTTGGTTGCCCCCCACATGCAACTTGGGGCAGGGATAGAACCTGCAACCCAGGTTTGTGCCTTGGACTGGGAATCGAATCTGACACCCTTCAGTATGCGGGGCTGAGTTCTAACCACTGAGAAAACCAAGACTGAGACTTTTTTTCCTTTTTTAAAAATATGTTTTTATTGATTTTAGAGAGAGGGAGAGGAATATACTAGTAGAAATAGGTCAATGAGAGAGACATCAATTGGCCGCCTCCCACACACTCCCTACTAGGGATTGAGTCTGCAACCGGGCATGTACCTGACTGGGAATCGAACCAGGCACCCCTGTTCATGGGTCCACGTTCAACCACTGAGCCACACTGAACTGGACTCTTTTTAAAAAAACTGCATTATTGAGATATAATTTATATACTATACAATTCTCCCATTTAAGCATACAACTCAATGGTTTTCAGTATATTTATAGGGTTGTGCAACCATCACTAAAATAAATTATGATTATATTAATGGATTATGACATTTTTATCTTTTCTGAAAGAAAACCCATATCCATTCCCCAGCCCCAGCCCTACACAACCACTAATTTAGTTTCTACCTTTATAGTTTTGCCTGTTCTGGATATTTCATACAAGTGGAATTATAACATTTTTATGTGTGGTTTGCTGTGAATGACTTCTTTCACTCTGCATATATATTTTTAAAGTTCATCAATGTAATAGCATCTATCCTTTTCATTAACAAATAATATTCTATTTATGGATATACCACATTTAAAAAAATATATATATTTTATTGATTTTGTACAGAGAGGAAGAGAGAGAGATGGAGAGTTAGAAACATCGATGAGAGGGAGTCATCGATCAGCTGCCTCTTGCACACCCCCTACTGGGGATATGCCTGCAACCAAGGCACATGCCCTTGACCGGAATCAAACCCGGGACCCTTCAGCCCCCAAGCCAACGCTCTAGCCATTGAGCCAAACCGGTCTCACCTGGATATACCACATTTTTTTACTCATTCATCAATTGAACACTTGGGTTGTTTTAAATTTTTGGCTATTGTGAATAATGCTATGAACACTCACGTATAAGTTTTTGTATGAATATCTGTTTTTATATCTCTTGGATACTATATATATGTACATCTATCTACCTACCTATCTATCTTTCTATCCATCTATCTATCTAGAAGTAGAATTGCTGGGTCATAGATCTTATCCTGTAAACCACTACACATGTCAGCTGGTCTTAGTCTCTGCTATTATTAAATAATTATATCATTAATAACACCAATATTATTGGTCTTTGTTGCAAAGATCTTTACTTTTATTAGCACAGATCCTCACTCAATCCTTCGACACAGGAATCATTATTCCCAATTGGAGTGTGTGGGCATAAAGCAATTTGTCTATACTCAGACAGCTACCATGGGCAGTGCTGAACCCACATGGGCCTGTTTTCTGTGCCCTCTGTGCCTGCTGCCATGTGTTGGGCCAGATCCTTTCCCAAAGCTGTTGTAACATGCCTCCTGCCCTCCTTTGGGGCATTTTCTGGGAGTTAGACTGGCCTGAAATCCCAAGGGTAAAAACTGTATACTCACCCATGCTCTTTTGCCCAGCTGGCACTGGCGGCCAGGGGAGGGGCTTCCCTCGGGAGCTGGAAATAAAATGAAGGGAGGGCTGAGCTGAGCAGGGCAGCACTATAAGGGTAGGAGGCTGTGAGGGGGAGGTAAGGATTTGTTTTGTGGTGTTTGTTTCTTGGCTCTTGGAGAGCAGGTGAGGTGGGGCTTGGCAGAGTTTTCTAAGGACAGGGAATGGGAGTGAGGAGCGAGGCCAAAACAAGCAGACGTGGGTAGTGAGCTTTCACGGGGAAGGCAGGTCTGAGGAACCCCCTTCCCCAAGTCCTCAGAAGGAAAGAGTAATTTCACCGACTGTGGAGGGGGCTTCCTTCCATGGCCGCTCCTTGAGCCCCTTACTCTGCGCCAGGCCCTCGCTGTGCCGGGGGCTAGGATTAGGGAGAACATCTCAGGGCCAGGCACCCCGTGCCTAGGGGGCTAAGACAGAAATAGACAGTTGGCTAAGAAGCGGGAAGGGCAGGTTGAAGGGGAAATTCTGTAAGCTGTGTATGAAGGCTTTCCGAAAGGTGGAAAGCAATGCAACTGGGACTTCAAAGCTACAGACATTTAGCTCTGGGACAGAGGAAAGCACTGCAGGTGGAGGGAACTGCCTTTTGCATGCTTGGAACATGCAAAAGCTGGAGCACAGGGGCTTAGAAGACAAAGTGGCAGCAGGTGAGCCTAAAGCTGTCAGCTAGAGCTGCAGTGTGCAGTGTGGCTGCCAGTAGCCATAAGACACCATGGCTATTTAAATTTAAATTAGTTAGGTTAAAAAATCCAGCCCCTTAGGCATACTAGCAGCATGTTAAGTGCTCAATAGCCACATTGGGCCAGTAGCTATGGAAACAGAGAATAGATGCAGACCGTCTCCATCATCTCACCAAGTCCCGTTAGTCAGTGTGAAGCCTCAGGAGGGTTTGGATTGCTCAAGGGCCTACGGGAGAGAGCGGGCCCAGCCTGGGCTGCCGGGCCGTGAGGCCTGACCCAGGATGTCTCTGGACTGCAGTGGAGGGAACAGTCCCCAGCAGTGGGAGGTGGTGTGACTCACCTCCTGCCAGCATGAAGTGGACTCTGCCCCCAGGGACAGGAATTAACCAGGCCGGGCGGCTTTAGCTCCAACTGGGGATCCCTGATCAGTGCGATCGGAGCCAGAGTCAGAGAAACATGGAGTGAGTGGTACTAGGGAGGGAGGAGCCGCTGAGTGGGGCTGAGCCTGGGCGCGGAGGGGGTCTCCAACAGGGGCACAGTTGGTGCGCAGCACGGGGTTGGACAGAAAAAAGGCTGGGGGAGCTGTCTGTGAATTGAGAGGGGAGAGTGGAGTGGAAGCTTGCTAAATGGGGGTGGGGTGGTTCTGTGTCAGATGATGAGAGAATGGAAACCCTCCCAGTCCACGGTAATGAGCTGTTTCTGCTTCCTTCCCAGGTCCAATGCAGTCCAGCTGACAAGAATGGAATATGCCATGAAGTCCCTCAGCCTTCTCAACCCCAAGTCCCTCTCCAGGTGAGGAAAGCCTAGGGTGGAAGGGAAGGGGGGCTTCCTGTGAGCGGTAGGGCAGAACGTCTCAGATTTCAGTGGCACATAAGTCACTTGTGTATCTTCGTAAAGTGTAGATTCTGACTCTGGGGATCTGTAATGGGGCTCAAGATTACCACCACACTGTGCTTGTGCTTTCATTCTCAATCTCTTTTACACCTCACCATGGCTTTGGGAAGTGGGGATTATTGTGCCAAATTAATAGACAAGGAAACTGGGCACAGAGTGGATGCTTTTGATTACCTAGCAAATGGGTTGTGGGGCCAGGATTCTAACTTTGCCTGCCTGCCTCCAAAACCCAGGTTCCCTCCACTCCTTTAGTTCTGTGCTGTGTCGTGTCAGAGTTCAAAAACATCTCACACTGACGTCAGCTTTGCCTCTTCATCTCACTGCACAGGTGAGAGGAGCGAGGCCAAGAGAGGGAAGGGGATCTGGGGGCATGCGAGGTGGGTCTTCTATCACCTGTCCCTCCTCATGGCCTGAGAACCAGCACCGTCGGTATCGCTTGGGAATTTATTAGACACATAGAATCTCAGACTCTGCCCAGACCAACTGAATCAGAATCTGCATTTCACCGAGATCCCCGCGGGATGTACATGCCCATTAAAGTCTGAGACGCACTGAGGTGGCCGACTTTTGAATAAGACTAACCGGAGCAGGCTTGGTAGGTGGTAGGGGAGGAGGGATATGGTGAGCACGGCCTAGAGGGATTGCTATTGGGGTGAGAGCTGGGAAGCAGCAGGCAGCTTATTCTAATGCCCCAACCCCCCCCCCCCCGCCCCCCAGGTATGTGGCAGTGAGCACCTCGGTGGTGACCCAGCAGCTGCTGTCGGAGCCCAGCCAGGCACCCCGTGCACCCCTCCGGGCACGGCCCTGCAGAGTGAGCACCCAGGACCGGAGTGTGCGGAAGGGCATCATGGCGCACAGCCTGGAGGACCTCCTCCTCAAGGTGAGGGGCGGGCCTGACCTCTGCACAGCCCAACCACGGGGACCTTGGCTCCGAGTTGGCCCTGCCTGCTGCCTCTGTCCTCCAGGTCACGAGCTGGAAGTTTAGTAAGGATGAAGTTCATGGCTTACATGGTGAAAAGATTTCCTTTCTTATGCCAGGTCTAGTGGGTTGGTAGTGCCTGCCTGGAATGCTGTTGACAGGGGGAGGGTAGTCTATTGCTTTCCTGTATCAACATCAGTGGTATTGTCAGAGCATATCTGCTCCCTGCAAGGATCCTTAGGTTGCCTTTCACAGTCGTTCTTAAACATGTAGAAATACTTGGAAGTTGGGGAAAGAGGCAATATTTTAGAAATTCCTTTCTCCATCTTCTCCCTTCTGCCAGGGCAGTTCTCCTCAGTCTGTTTCCCATACTGACCTTCCACGTAAGGATTTTTTTGAAAAATACATTTTATTGATTTTTTTTTTACAGAGAGGAAAGGAAAGAAACATCAATGAGAGAGAATCATCGATCAGCTGCCTCCTGCACACCCGCTACTGGGGATGTGCCCGCAACCAAGGTACATGCCCTTGACCGGAATCAAATCTGGGACCCTTGAGTCCGCAGGCCGATGCTCTATCACTGAGCCAAACTGGTTAGGGCCCATGTAAGAATTTTTTAATAGCTGTAGAAGACTTTCTTCAAACTGTTAATCAGATAAGCTTCCAGAGGAGAAAACCAAGGATATACAACGCTTGTGGATGGTAGTCACAGGAGGCAAGAATGACAGCCTTCCCCATGTCCATGCTTCCTCTCCATGCTTCCTCCACTGCCCGGCCTACAGCATCATCTATTCTGGTTCCACATTAGTCATGTGCCTCACTGCTCCAGGGGGGGCCCTGCTCATCGGCAAGTCCAGGTCAAATATTTGAATTAGGCTCCCAATTACTAGTCTGCTTAACATAAAAAAAACCATAGCTGACCTACCTAACCCTCTATTCTAGGTTGTCTCCCCCATTTCTCTGAATTAGGTCCATTCTTCCTGGAAGCCAATTTCCTCTCCACTGGGAGGCTTCCAGATGTGCCAGACAACATTTCTTGTGCCTTGAATCAAAAAGGCTCTTTCACACTTGAGTCTAGACACTGCACTACTTTTCACACTGAGGTTCAGGGACCACCTGTGCATTACAATGGCCTTGTTAACACGTGGCTTCCCAGAGTTCGTTCCCCCTGAGACTGATCAGGTCATGAGTGAGGCAGAGGAATTGTCATTTTAGCAGATTCTTCAGCAGATTCTTGTAGCCACTGAGTTTGGGAATTCCTAGCCAGACCCCTAACTGCAGAGGATGCAGGGAGAGGCAGCTTTCTAAGATGGACCATTGGTCAGAAGTGAAGTCTACTTGGAATTAGGAAGACATCATTCTATCTAGACTGACTTTCCAAATTTGGCAATAGAAAGAAAGGAGTAGAGAAAATGAGGGGAGAGAGGGTAAGGAGATATAGTTGGGAGAGAGCAGGGTATGAAGTTCTTTATTGGCTATAGGTTTCATGTTAAAAGATAACATGGTTTGGCTCAGTGGATAGAGTGTTGGCCTGTGGACTGAGGTGTCGTACATTTGATTCTGGTCAAGGGAAATGCCAGGGTTTCGGGTACAATCCGCAGTAGGGAGTGTGCAGGAGGCAGCCAATCAATGATTCTCTCTCATCATTGATATTCCTATTTCTCTTTCCCTCTACCTTCCTTTCTGAAATCAATACAAATTTTTTTTTATTTTTTATTTTTTAATTTAATTTTATTTTTTTTAAATATATTTTATTGATTTTGTACAGAGAGGAAGGGAGAGAGATACAAAGTTAGAAACATCGATGAGAGAGAGTCATCGGTCAGCTGCCTCTTGCACACCCCCTACTGGGGATATGCCCGCAACCAAGGTACATGCCCTTGATCGGAATCGAACCCGGGACCCTTCAGTCCCCAAGCCGACACTCTATCCACTGAGCCAAATCGATCCCGGCAAAAAAAATTTTTTTTTAAAAGTTAACAGTAAGCCATTGGAGGATTTTTTAAAAATGAAATGAGATTTTGTAACAATCTCAAACTAACAAAAGTTGCAAAAACAATATGAGACTTCCTGAAGCACTTGAGAGCAAGTTGCTGACCTGATGCCTGTTATTCTTGGATACATCAATGTGTGTTTTCTCCAAACAAGTATATTATCCTATATAATCACAATACAACTATCAAAATCAGGCAAAATGCAATCTATACAAAATGCAATCTATACAAAATACAATCTATATAAGGATAATATGCTAATTAGACCAGATGTCTTCCGGACGACCTTCCAGACATCGTCCTGACAAAGCCAGGTCTGGGCGGAGCCCCCCTCCCCCCACCTGGTCCCAGGAGCCTGCAGCTGTGGCTGCAGCCCAGGCAAAGCCGCCTGCCCATGGTCCCAGGCACCTGCGGCTGGCCGAAGGAGGAAATCCTGGGTCCCGGGTGTGGGGCCAAGGCAGAGGCATTTAGGAATGATCAGGCTAGCAGGGGGACAGTTAGGGGTGATCAAACAGGCAGGCAGAGGGGTTAGGGGAGATCAGGCAGGCAAACAGTTGGAGCCAGTGACCCCAGATTACAAGAGGCACTTGGACATCCCCAGAGGGGTCCCAAATTGGAAAGGGTACAGGCCGGGCTAAGGGATAGCCCCTCCCCACCCATGCACGAATTTTATGCACTGCACCTCTAGTATTATATAATTACCATTTGATCTTGAGACTACATTCAAGTGTTTGCAATTATTCTAATAATGTGCTTTGTAGCAAAAGGACCCAGGTCAGGACCAAGTGTTCTATTTAATTGTGAATCCTTTTATTTTTTAATTTTAATTTATTGATTTTAAAGAGAGATGAAGAGAAAGAGACAGAGACAGAGACATTGATTTGTTGTTCCATTTATTTATGCATTGATTAACTGATTCTTGTATGTGCTCTGACTAGGGATTAAACCCACAACTTTGGTGTACTGGATGATGCTCTAACCAACTGAGCTACTGGCCAGGGAATTGTGCCTCTCTCTCTGTCTCTCTCTCTCTCTCTGTCTGTCTCTGTCTCTCTCTCTCATCATTAAATAAAAAGAATTTTTAAAGGTACAGTCAGGCTTCTCTATATAAAGCTATTGTTTTTTCCTTTCTTTTAATTATTTTCTAGGGAAGTACTTTGCACTAAGTAAAATCTCATTCTGCATCTAAATTTAAATTTATTTACTTACTAGAGGCCCAGTGCATGAAATTCAGGCACGGGGTAGGGGTGTCCCCTTAGCCTGGCCTGTACCCTCTCTAATCCGGGGCCCCTTGGGGGATGTCCGACTGCCAGTTTGAATCGGGCCTAAACCGGCAGTTGGACATGCCTCTCACAATCTCCTAACCGCTTGCCTGCCTGCCTGCCTGATTGCCCCTAACTACTTCTAACCCCTAACCCCTCTGCCTGCCTGCTTGATTGCCCCTAACCATCTCTGCCTTCTTGCCTGATCACTCTTAACCACTTCTGCCTTGGCCCTGCACCTGGGACCCAAGATTCCCTCCTCTGGCTGGCTGCACCCAGGACCTGGGCTTCCCTCCCTCTGGCCAGTCGTAGGCCAGCTTTGTCTGAGCTGTAGCCACAGCCGCAGGCGACTGGGACCATAGATGGGCAGCTTCGCCCTCTCCTGGGCGGCAGCCTCAGGTGCTGGCACCCCAGACCAGCGGGCAGCTTAGCCCAGGCCAGCTTTGTCAGGAAGGATTCCCGGTCTAATTAGCATATTACCCCTTTATTACTATAGTTATCAAAAAGGACTCAAGTATCCCCATTTAAATGGGATATAAGGATGGTAACAGATTATTTATTGATGCTCAAATCGTCCCAGACACGGCCAGTGGGACTCCTTTCGGCCCTATTTCTGTTTTGCGCTTTCTGACTTTCTGGCACAACAAGGTATTGCAGGCTCATCCTGAACCTTTCCTGCCCTAGCCCTTGAGTTCACCAGTTTTTCTAAGAAGGTCTGCTTCATTTTAGTGAAGAATGGTACTCAGAAAACAAGATCTAAAAGCTAGTTGTGCTCATTGCTATTGGTGTATTGCTCATCCCAGGCCTATATTAAAGGATTTTAAGCAGAAAAGTATGTTCTCTAACGAATCCAACTAAGAATAGTAAAGTGAAAATCCTACTCTTCCGAGAGAACTAATGGTGTGACTGTGAGTGTCCTATATAGTCTATCCTTATATATTACTTAAGTGGGGTTATGTAGTATAGAGCTGACTTTTCATCCTATAACATGTCATGGTTCTCTTTCCATTTTAATTAGTATAGTATAAATTTTAGTAAATGCACACTATGGACTATGAACTCTGCCAAATGACTTTTACATATAGCATTTCTTATAATCATCACCTTGAGGCAGCTACAATTATTCCCATTTTCTAGGGGCAGAGGCCAAGTGTATTCACTGGGATTTAAACTAGGCTATCATCTCAGACTTTTGCATTTAATTATTGTGACAGTTCTAATGTATTTGCCTCAACTTTTTAGATTATAAAACGAGTTTAGAGAAATGAGGTGACTTAAGTTCAGAACAATGTAGTAGAGAAGCTAGAATTCAAACCTGTCTCCTTATCACCAGAGTTGCACTATTCAATGCAGTAGCTACTAGTTATATGTGATTATTAAATTTCTTGAAATTTATCTAGTTGAAATTGAGATGTGTTTACACATAAAGGGCATATAAGATTTTGAAGACTTAATATGGAAAAAATGTAAAATCTTATAAAAATTTTAATGTAGTTATATATTTTTAGATTGAATTAAATATATTACAAGTGATTCCGCCTATTCTTATTTTAATGTGGCTATTAGAAATTTTATTTATTTATTTATTTATTTATCCTCACCAGTGGATATTTTTTCCATTGATTTTTAGAAAGAATGGAAGGGAGGAAGGGGGAGAGAGAGACACACACACATCAATGCGAGAGAGACACATCAATTGGTTGCCTCCCTGAGGTGCCTAGACAAGGATAAAACTTGCAACCCAGGTACATGCCCTTAAGTGTACTGGGCCGAAGCTGATATATCCACTTAGCAACCGGTCAGGGTATGCTATTAGAAAATTCAAACCAATGGAATAGAATTGAAAGTCCAGATATAAAGCCATATATCTATAATCAATTGATTTTTTTTTACTGGGTGCCAAGACTATTCAATAGAGAAAGAATATTCTCTTCAACAAATAGTGGTGGGATAATGTGATAACCACATGAAAAAAAGTAAAATTGGATCCCTATCTCATACTATGTACAAAGTTAAGTCAAACTAGATTAAAGAGATAATGTAGATCTAAAACCTCACAACCCTTAGAAGAAAACATACTAGGTGTAAGTCTTTATGACCTTGGTTTCTTAGATATGGCACCAAAGCACAACCAACCAAAAGGGGGAACAATCAGCATTAAAAACTTGCTTTGCATCAACAGACACTATGAAAAAATGAACAGACAATCCACAGAACGGGATAAAATATTTGTGAATCACAAAGCTCATAAGCATTGAGTATCAAGAATATATAAAAGAACTCATAACTCAATAATAAAAAGACAGCCTATGTAAAAATGCACAAAGAGTTTGAGTGGATGTTTCTGTAAAGAATATAATACAGACCTGACCAGTTTAGCTCAGTGGATAGAGCATTGGGCCCTGGACTGAAAGGTCCTGGGTTTGATTCCAGTTGAGGGCATGTACCATGGTTGCAGGCTCGATCCTCAGTAGAGGGCATGCAGGGGGCAGCAGATCGATGTTTCTCTCTCTCATGGATGTTTCTAACTCTCTATCCCTCTCTCTTTCTTTCTATAAAAAATCAATAAAAAATATTTTTTAAAAAAGGATATAATACAAATGTATAACAACACATGAAAATGTATTCAACTTCTTCGTCATTAGGAAAATGTAAACCAGAATCACTTAATTCCCAATAGCCTGACTAAAATAAAAGATAGACAATAACAAATGTTAATGAGGTTGTGTAGAAGCTGGAATCCTCATACATTGCTGGTGGGAATATAAAATGATGTAGCTGCTTTTGAAAACCGTTTGGTAGTTCCTTAAAAAGTTAAACATGGGGTTGACTCTATGACTCAGCAGTGTCACTCCTAGGCATAAACCCAGGAAAACAGGAAATATATTTTCACCCAAAAATTTGTACATGAATAATCATAACAGCATTATTCGTGATACATAGAAAGGGAAACAATCACAGGTCTATCAATTGATGAATCAATAAAAAATGTAGTATATCTATAATTTAGAATATGATTCAACCACAAAGAAGAGTGAATCATGTGTGAACCTTGAAACATAGTAAGAAGCCAATGTAAAAAGACCACATAATGCATGATTCTGTTTATCTGAAATAAAGGTCCAGCCAAATCCTGTAAGTAGACGTTGTCATGGGTTGGGAAATGGGGAATGACTACTAATGGGTACTGGGTTTCTTTTGATTCTGAAATAAGATAGTGGTGATGGTTGTAAAACTTTGTGAATGTGTGAAAAACACTGAATTCAATACCCTAAAAGGTCAAATTTTATAGCATATGAGTTCTATCTCAATAGAAATTTACATATGTGACTTCCATTGTATTTTTACTGAAAAGCACTCTCCTAGAATATTAACCATGATGCCAGGCACCAGGAGATACCATACTACATCTTTGGATGGTGATCTCACAGCAAGAGCCTGAGCTGCAGTCCCATTCCACAGACCCGGGCCCCTTGTTCTTTCCCTGGGATGGGATGTGGATCTTCCCCATCCCAGCTCTGTGGCTGCATGGGGGTGGCAGAAGCATCACCAACCTGATTCCCCAGGTTCGGGACACCCTGATGCTGGCAGACAAGCCCTTCTTCCTGGTGCTGGAGGAAGACGGCACGGTGGTGGAGACAGAAGAGTATTTCCAAGCCCTGGCAGACGACACAGTGTTCATGGCCCTCCAGAAGGGGCAGAAATGGCAGCCCCCACCAGACCAGGCGAGGTGCCACCTGTGGAGGGAGGGCATTGGGAATCAGAAGTCCTTGAGGGGTGCCAACCACACACTTGTCTCGATGCAGGCCTCTAGGTACCAGCTCTCCCTCTCCCGTACGCCTGTCAAGAAGATCGACGTGGCCCGTGTAACTTTTGACCTGTACAAGCTGAACCCACAGGACTTCATTGGCTGCCTGAACATAAAGGCAACTCTCTACGGCACATACTCCCTTTCCTACAATCTTCACTGCTATGGGGCCAAGCGCGTCATGAAGTGAGTGGCTTGGGACTCGCTGGGGGCAGGGTGGGTGTGCAGCAATGGGAGAGCCCCTGTCTGCTCACATGGGCCTCAGCCCTTTAGGGCCTGACAACGCATGACCGCATGCGCTACATCTTATGGCTGAACCAGTGCTTTCCATTTCACTAATGTAAGCCGAAGGGGCACACATACTCCTCCAGGTAGAACCGGGATACGTTTAGTTTTTCTAATTATCTTCTATTACAACAATTTTTTTTCACTTAAAATAGTAAGTTTTCCTAAGTAGTTTTCTAATCAACTGTTAAAAATGAACATGTGTCAAAGATTTTATTGAATTCACTAATTAATGAGGGAAAAGAAGTTACAATCATTTCCAAGGAGAATTCAAAACCCCACCTATATGTATGTCCATCAAGAATACTGAAATAGCCCTATCCAGTTTGGCTCAGTGGATAGAGAGCATTGGCCCAAGGACTGAAGGGTCTCGGATTTGATTCTGGTCAAGGGCGTGTACTTTGGTCATGGGCTTGCTCCCCAGTAGGCAGCGCGCAGTAGACAGCTGATTGATGTTTCTCTCTCATCAATGTTTCTAATTCTCTATTCTTCTCCCTTTTTCTCTTGGGGAAAAAAAAAAAGGTATATTTAAATATATATATATATATATATATATATATATATATATTTTATTTCAGAGAATTTCAAACTCTTTTTATGTGTAGATGTTTATGGTTCTGTCTTTCTGCCCCCATCCCTACCTCGACCAGAATTAATTAATTAATTAATTAATTAATTAATTAATTTATAGAGACAGAGGAAGGGAAAAGTCATTGATTGGTTGTTTTACTTATTTATGCATTCACTAGTTGCTTCTTGTATGTGCCCTAACCAGGGATAGAACCTGTAATCTTAGCATATCGGGACTAGCCAGGGCCTCCACCAGAATTTATTGAATGAAGGTTAATAAAAGACAAGTTTTAATATCAGCCAGGAAGTACTTATTTTCTTTTTGTTTTCCCCTCCTGATCCTACCCCCTGAGACTGACATCACTAGCGACTCTCACCTATCTTTTAAACAGATTTGGCTAAGGACTTAGTTAAAGCAGTCAAGTATTCAACCAGTTACTCTTGACCCCACCACATTTCCCCTGTTCACATCAGATCCCACGTTAAGTGATTTGTGCTTTTTCAACCTCCTAACCCTGTGTGGGATCACTATGACCCCAGAGTCTACAACAGATGTTGTGAAGGGCAGAGTTATGATTTTCATTTTTTGTAGACCAATATAACATGAGATGTTAGATCATGTTATATTGGTTAGCCCAAGTAGTATTACAAAAATAGTAGGTCTTGTTGGACCCAAGGGTCTCGGGTTAGATTCCTGATCATGGGTATGTACTTTAGTTGTGGTTCAATCAGTATACATGCAGGAGAAAACCAATCAATGTGTCTCTCTCATAAATGTTTCTTTCTCTCTCTCTTCCTCTCCTCCCTCCCTTCCACTCTCTTTAAAAACCAATGGAAAAAATATCCTCCGGTGAGGATTAAAAAAATAAACAAACAAATAAAGAAATGGCCTTGTTAAATGAGCTTGAATTTTGGACATCTCAGGGAAGGTACAGTTGCAGGTAATGCCTGTAGACCCTTTCCCATTTGCTGGGGGAAGGCAGCATCTGTTCTATCTGCATATCACTCTGCAAGTTATGGAATTATTAAAGGAGCAAGGGGAGGAGCATTGAGGAGATGCAGCCGGGAGTTTTCTCTGTATTTTAACTCTACCCCCTTCTCATCCCATCCAGGGAAGCTCTTCGCTGGGCCCTCTTCAGCATGCAGGCCACAGGCCACATGCTGCTCGGCACCTCCTGTTACATGCAGCAGCTTCTGGATGCCACAGAGGAAGGGCAGCCCCCTAAGGTCAAGGCCCCATCCCTCATCCCAACCTGTCTGAAGATACTGCAATGAAGACCCAAGTCCTCGAAGGCCTTCTCCAGCCAACGACGAGCCTGGGAATCCCATGCTCAGTGGGTAGCGCCCACAAGCCTGGCAGTTAGAGAGCTTCTTATCTCCCTACATCTCCCTCACCCACACAGGACAGCAAATGTGGAAGCAGGAGGAAGGGCTGGACACCTGGGATGGGATGGCCAAAGGAGAGCTGAGGACTTTTGTCTGGGCCTAGCTCCTCCCAGTCCAAGGCAGCTTAGCTGACCAAGACTGTTCGCCAGCAAGCTAGGCATGAAGTCTGCCCCTCAGCTACCGGTCTTCACATGCTATACCTTCATCACACTCCTGGCCCCCATCCCTAACAGTCCTGAGTGAACGGTCAGGCCCATTAACATATGATATTAGAGATTTATTGGCAATAAATGACTTATGCTGATACATCTTTGCCTGTGTTCTTTGGAGATGAGGGTGGAGTTCTCTCTGGAAGGTTTGACAGCAGGTCTAAAGGAAAAGAGGAATCTATTGTCAAACCAGCCTCCAAAATGTGGGGTTACAGGAAATAGCACTTGTTTTGCCAAAAATGTCCGCTTAATCAGAGACTTGAGCAAACCATATCATCCATACACAAAGTAACAATTTACAAAAGAAATCTGCCTATCAGAAGGACTTTGATTGGCAGGGTGGGATTAAGGCACTCTTTTTAACTTCTCACTGTTGCATTTTATTATAATCTTTTTAAAATATATATATTTTTATTGATTTTTTTTTCAGAGAGGAAGGGAGAGGGATAGAAAGTTAGAAACATCAATGGGAGAAAAATATCGATCAGCTGCCTCCTGCACACCCCCTACTGGGGATGTGCCCGCAACCAAGGTACATGACCTTGACTGGAATCGAACCTGGGATCTTTCAGTCTGCAGGTCAACACTGAGCCAAACCAGTTATGGTTTATTACAATCTTTTAAGTGTTTAGGTGGTAAAGCACTAACCAAGCTGTAACACAGTTCTCAGTCAATGCCTTCCCTAGCTTGCCAGAAAGTTCAGAACTTTCAGCCTCTGTTTTTCAAAATGAGCTGTTAGGTAGTCACAAAAAATTATTAATTTCTCATCAGTGTGAGTTGGCATTTTTCAATATAGGACAACTCAAGCAAGAGATGTTTGCAGTGACCATGCTTTAGTCTGTAACTCTCAGATTAAAAATCAATAGAAAAAAATATCTGACCCTTACTTAAGGTCTATTTGTGTTTATTAAGGACAAAGACAAAGGCCTGGATTGGAGAGTTAATGCTGGCAGCTGACCTATACCCTGCAGCATGTGTGGGAGGAGCTGCCAGAGCTGGCAAAAACACTTCCTATTCTGGGCTTTCCTGCACTTGCAGTTATGGCTGGAGGCTTGGCTCAGTGCCATCCCAGCTCCATGGGGTGGGCCTTCTCACATGGAGGCGTGTTGTTCATATCAGCACAGAAGCTGTTTCTGGTCACCCTTTGCTGAGTCTGTGACCCACCTGTGCCTCCTATCAAGTTAATCACGCACTGAGTTGGGCTGGGGTGGAAGAGATGAACGGAGTCACACCGGCAGTGGGCAGTGAATAGAAGACGGCCGTGATGAGTCTGGAGCACCCGGAGGGAGAATTTCAGAGTGTGGGAGCTCAAGCCCCAACAGGTCAGCAGCCAGTCCTAGTAGGGGAATGGTCCCGTCGGGGGCCGGTGGAGGAGAGGTCTGTTGCAGTTAGAGCAGGCAGCGTCCCAGCCACTCAGCCTGAGTCTTCCCATCTTGCTCAAGCTGGCACGGGAGACCTTCCAACAAAAAGGATTCTAAATACCGTGGGGTCTACCCTGACTGGGTAGCTCAATTGGTTAGAGCATCGTCCGCATACACCATGGTTGGAGGTTCGATCCCCAGTCAGGGCACATACAAGAATCAATCTATGAATGTATAAGTAAGTGAAACAACAAATTGGTGTTTCTCTCTCTCCTTTCATCTCTTTCTCTAAAATCAATAAATAAAAATTTAAATCCCATGGGACTTGCCCTAGCTGGTTTGGCTCAGTGGATAGAGCATTGGCCTGTGGACTGAAGGGTCCCAGGTTTGATTCCAGTCAAGGGCACATGCCCAGATTTCGGGCTTAATCCCCAATAGGGGGAGTGCAGGAGGCAGCCAAACAATGATTCTCTCTCGTCATTGATGTTTCTATCTCTCTCTCCCTCTCCCTTCCTCTCTGAAATCAATCCTATATAATAAAAGGGTAGCCGAAACCGGTTTGGCTCAATGGATAGAGCGTCGGCTTGGGGACTGAAAGGTCCTAGGTTCGATTCCGGTCAAGGGCATGTACCTTGGTTGCGGGCATACCCCCAGTAGGGGGTGTGCAAGAGGCAGCTGGTCGATGACTCTCACTCATCGATGTTTCTAACTCTCTATCTCTCTCCCTTCCTCGCTGTACAAAATCAATAAATAATATTTAAAATAAATAAATAAATAAAAAAAAATAAAAATAAAAGGGTAATATGCAAATTGCCCCCTCTACTGGGAGTTCCACCTGAATTGGACCAGAAGGCTGGGCTGGCCCACCAACCACCCAGGGGCCCTGCCTCAGGCCAGCCCATCCCTGATCGCCTCCGCCCCATAGAGGGCGGGGCTGGCCCACCAACCCCCTTCAGCCCCTCCCCCAGGTCAGCCTGACCAGATCACCCTGATCGGGGCTGGCCACTGGACCCCCACCCATGCACGAATTCATGCACTGGGCCTCTAGTAATAAATAAAAAAATACCATGGAACCTGTACAGAGCACAGTTATGCCCAAGCCCCAAACAAGAAAAAACCACACCACCTGCATCATTGCCAAAGTTCTTGCTAGTCCTTTCTCTATTTGCCCACATCTACTTAGGAATTGGTTATTTAAATATTTGAATTAGAAAAAGTTCTTGAGGTATAACTTACATATACTAAAATTTACCCTTTTAAGGTATATACTAGTTCAATTAACCCTGGGCAAATTGATCCAGGATGTAGCCACCACTTCCAGCTTGCCACAAAGCTCCTTTATTCCCCTTTCTAGTCAATCCTGTTCCCCACCCACTCCAAGCCCTTGGCATCCACTTGGTTTTCTGCCAAAACAGTTTACCTTTTCTAAAATGTCATGTATATATAATCACACAGTCTCTTAAAAATTTAGTTCTATCAAATTTCAGTTTTGAGATTATTATTTTAAAAGTTTTATGAGCCGAAACCGGTTTGGCTCAATGGATAGAGCGTCGGCTTGGGGACTGACGAACCCGGGTTCGATTCCGGTCAAGGGCATGTACCTTGGTTGCAGGCATATCCCCAGTAGGGGGTGTGCAAGAGGCAGCTGGTCGATGACTCTCTCTCATCGATGTTTCTAACTCTCTATCTCTCTCCCTTCCTCTCTGTACAAAATCAATAAAATATATTTAAAAAAAATAAAAGTTTTATGAAACTTAGTCTTTTATGCTTGATTTAGACATTTAAACTAGATATGTGTGTGTATTATATACATATGAAATATATCAATGAGATAAAAAATTTAAGCAGTTCCAAAAGGAAAACGTATTTATTCATCTTCTCACTTCTGATTCCTTCTCCAGAAGCAACCACCTTGTTTTTGTGTGTCCTTTTGAAACCGGACACAAAACAGGTCTGGGGCTGCCTGCACTACTTGAGCCAAATTAAGCAGAGACAAGGCTGAATTACGTGAGCATTTAATCCAGTAATGCCAGCTGTATGGAGAGAGCAGCAGGTCATCCTGAAAATTCTGCTCTAACATCTACTAGTTGGCTGGTTAGATATGGATAAAGAAGAAGGGCGACATGCAAGGGGAGAGGGGGATAGAGGAAGGTCTGCAGGATCCATGGTCCCTGTGTCTCCTTCCAGGATCTTGAAGTCCAATAACAAGGTAGCTAACTTACTATGATGTTAAAAACCAGCTCAGCCTGTTCCTGGGACTGGAGAATGGACAGCATTCCTGAGGTGAATTCCCGGGTGGGGTGTGGGGGTGGGGTGTCAGGGTCTAGGCACAGCAACCAAATCAAGTGTTTCCTGTCCTTGATTTGCTCTCAAAATGAATCTTTTTTTTAGTAAAGGACCTATCCAAGCTCCAAGGCATTGTATCTTTTTACAGCCTTGTTTTTCTCCTTATAACAGATTCTCCAGTTTCCCGGGATCTGTAAGAAAACCTGTTCTAGCCTGCCCAGCCGGTGTGGCTGTGGTTGAGCATGACCCACACACCAAGAAGTCCAATTCTCTATTGGGGTTATGGACTCGATCCCCAGCAGGGGACATGCTGGGGCAGCCAATCAGTATTGCATGGATGTTTCTATCTCCTTCTCCCTCTCCCTTCCTCTTTCTCGCAAATCAATAAAAACATATTTAATTTTTTTAAATACCTCTTACCCATATATAGTAAAATAAATAATCATTGAACAACTCTGGTCATATTCCTATTATGTGCCCTTCTTTCTATCACTTTCAGAAATCCAGGAGTATATAAATAAAACAAATGTACATCAATCGCACATACATACACAGTCATGCACCCCGTAATGATGGGGATAGTTCTGGAAAATGCACCGTCAGACAACTTCATTGTTGTGTGAATATTATAGAGTGCACTTACACAAAGCTAAATGGCATAGCCTACTACACACCTAGGCTACAATCCTGTATAGCATGTTACTGTGCAAAACAACATGAGATTAAATCAAGCACAAAAGAAAATTATGCAACTCATTGATGCAGTATTAGATGTATGATTCTGCTGCTATTAATAGTATAACATGGTATACTGTTTTATGGCAAACGTCTTTTCAATAAGTAGAAAGAGTACACTCTAAAGTAATGATAAAAAATATAGTAGAGTGAATACATAAACCAGTCCCATAGCCGTTTATTACTATTTTTAATTATTATGTACTGTACATAATTGTATACACTATACTTTTCTATGAAAGGCAGTGTATAGGTTTGTCTACACCAGCATCACCACAAACATGTGTGTTATGCATTGTGCCATGTCAGTGTAACAGCTTAAACCTTATTAGGCAATAGTAATATTTCAACTCCATTATAATCTTTTTTTCAATATGTTTTTATTGATTTCAGAGAGGAAGGGAGAGGGAGAGAGAGATAGAAACATCGATGATGAGAGGGAATCATTGACTGGCTGCCTCCCCCACGCCCCCAAATGGGGATTGAGCCCTCAACCCTAGATGTGCTCCAGACCAGAATCAAACCCGGGATCCTTCAGTCCACAGACCGACACTCTATCCATTGAGCCAAACCGGTTAGGGCCATTATAGTCTTTTTAAAAAATATTTTTAAATGATTTTTTAAGAGGGAGAGAAACATCCATGTGAGAGGTTTTTAAAAAAAAAGATATTTTAAAATATTTTTAGAGAGACAGGGAGAGGGAGAAGAGAAACACTGATATGAGAGTGAAACATCAATCAGGTGGGAACACCCTGTACCAGGGATTGAGCCTGCAACCCAAGCATGTGCCCTGACCTAAATAGAACCAATGACCTTTTTGTGCATAGAACGAAGCCTAACCAACTGAGCCACACTGGCCAGGGCTCTATTATAATTTAATGGAAACACCATCACATGTGGTCTGTAGTTGACCGAAATGTCATGGCTATATACAGTATATATTCACCAGGAAGCAGAGGGAGGGAACAAAAAACAAAAAAACAAAACAAAAAAAAAAGAACAAAAAGAACAAAATGGATTCTATTCTGTAATTATAACTATGGAAAGTTGTAATTTATATGTAAAGTATATATATTGATTTGGCCCCTTTAATTTGTGTGGAACAGCGTCTGAGTAGCACAACATACCTAAGTATCATTGCTGATCAAGTTCATCCTATCATGTTGATGGTGTATCCCAATAGCGATGGCTTCTTCCACTAAGACAATGCACCATGCCATGGTGCTCCTATTGTGCAGGAGTGGTTTCAAGAACATGAGGGAGACTTTACCTTGCTTAGGTGGCCCCCACAATCACCAGATCTCAATCCAAATGAGCATTTGTGGGACAAGGTTAAAAGAGCCATCAGGCAGCTGGTTCCACAACCATCAAATCTCACAGAACTGGACAGTGCTATTCAGGCATGGTGGCAGATTCCTCCATCACCTTTCAACATCTCGTGGAGTCAATGCCAAGAAGAATCGCCGCAGTACTAAAGGCAAAAGGTGGCCCAACTAAGTACTGATGGAGTGATCATAATAATTTGGCCTCTCAGTGTGTGTGTGTGTGTGTGTGTATGTGTGTGTGTGTGTGTGTGTGTGTGTGTGTGTGTGTGTGTGTGCGCGCGCGCATGCGCACATGCATATGCGTGTTTGTATAGTGCATGCAATTACTTAATATTTCTGGAGACTGAGTCATATCAGCACATATAGACCTATACATTCCTTAATGGCTGCATGGACTGGATGTGCTACAACTGATTTAGCCATCCCTCTATTGATGGATTTAGGTTAATTTTAAGATTTTTGTTAATGCAAACAATGAACTAAAAGTTATAGTGCTCTTAGTAAATAAATAAAACAATGCACAGGTTGCATGTGACCTTTCCATAGTTGTAATTACAGAACAAAATCCATTTTGTTGTTCTTTTTTTTTTTTTTTTTTAAACTTGGTTCATTTCTCTTGTTGTTCCCTCCCTTTGCTTCCTGGTGAATTTCTATAAGTTATTCACACCTGCCAATCATAACCCATGCTTGGACACCTTTTCTGATTTCACCTGGCTCCTCACTCCTTTCTCTAACTCAGCACAGGGTTTATCAAGGTGTGTTGTGATGTTGTGATCTGAACTGTATCTACTTGGTTGAACTTCTTGTGAGTAGTGCCTGTGTCTTGCTGATCTGTGTTCCCCAGTTGCCAGGGCCTGGAATAAAGTTAGCATTAAAAAGATGTTGAATAGCCTTAGCCAGTTTGGCTCAGTGGATAGAGCTTTGGCCTATAGATTGAAGAGTTCCGGATTAGTTCTGGTCAAGGGCACATGTGCCGGTTGCAGGCTCAATCCCCAGTGGGGGGCATGCAGGAGGCAGCCCATCTGTGGTTCTTTCTCATCTTTTTTTTTTTTAAGAATATATTTTATTGATTTTTTACAGAGAGGAAGGGAGAGAGAGAGCTAGAAACGTTGAGAGAGAAACATCGACCAGCTGCCTCCTGCACGCCCCCTACTGGGGATGTGCCTGCAACCAACATACATGTCCTTGACCGGAATAGAACCTGGGACCTTTCAGTTCAAAGACCGACGCTCTACCGCTGAGCCAAACTGGTTTCGGCACTCTCTCATCTTTGATGTTTCTCTCTCTCTCCCTCTCTCTTCCCTTCTCAAATCAATAAAAAAAATTTTTAAAAAATGTTGAATAGGTGATGTATTCGATTTATTTCCTGTATAGAGCTAATCACAGGACAAATTATGTTTCCAGTTTTGTTTTGTTTTTAAATATATTTTATTGATTCCTTATAGAGAGGAAGGGAGAAGGATAGAGAGCTAAAAACATCAATGAGAGAGAAACATCGACCAACTGCCTCCTGCACACCCCCTACCGAAACCAATGTACAGGTCCTTGACCGGAATTGAACCTGGGACCTTTCAGTCCGCAGACCGATGCTCTATCCACTGAGCCAAACCTGTCTCGGCTATGTTTCCAGTTTTGAGAGGTTTGTTTTGTTTTTGCTTTGATAAATAATGCTTTAGTGAACCTCCTGCCTCTAGACTTTTTCTCCTTTTGGATTATGCACCAGGCTGTTCTTCCAAGCAGTTTACTGAATTACCCTCACCCCCTACCCCCAACTTGCCTTAAGATAGTGTGCATAGCCGAAACCGGTTTGGCTCAGTGGTAGAGGGTTGGTCTGTGGACTGAAGGGTCCTGGGTTCGATTCCGGTCAAGAGCACGTACCTTGGTTGCGGGCACATCCCCAGTAGGGGGTGTGCAAGAGGCAGCAGATCGATGTCTCTCTCTCATCGATGTTTCTAACTCTCTATCTCCCTTCCTCTCTGTACAAAATCAATAAAATATATTTTTTAAATCAATAAAATATATTAATTAAAAAAAAAGATAGTGTGCATAGCAGTGGCTTTTTGAAGGCAGGGGGCTTCTAGAATTAAAATGGTAACTAGAAAATCGTTCAATTTTGTCCTGAGACAGCCTCTCTGACCCTGATGAATTCCTTCTCTGCTCTGTGCTCAGGTTCCCTATCAATGTTAAGAAATAGTCAAACCTGTGAAGAATTTTTGTGAGTTTATTTGACCCAAACTGCTGACAAATGCTGGGAAGCAAAATATCAATGGATTGAGATAATGCTCTGAAGAATGGCAGTAATGCACTTTGTGATCGTTTGTTTGTTTGAATATAAATATTATTTAAGAGAGAAAGGGGGAGAGAAACATCAATGATGAGAATCATTGATTGGCTGCCTCCTGCACGCCCCCTACTGGGCGGGGGTGGGAGGATCAAGCCCACAACCCAAATGGAACCTGGGACCCTTTAGTCCGCAGGCGGATGCTCTGTCCACGGAGCCAAACCGGCTAGGGCTGCACCTTGTTTTACATATCACAATCAAAAAAGGAGACCTAAGTGAGTTACCAGAAATCCATCCGTGATAGATTAGGGAAGTGGGAGAAAGCAAAGTTGGGCAGAGGAGGGAGGGGAAACTGGCATTGGATAAAAAGTAAAATGATAAGACACACTTTTTACTTAGGCGGGTGCAGGGCAGTTAACAGTCAACAAATGAACTCAATAACAGTGAGGGAAGTTGTGGTCTGTGCAGCCTGGTGCCTGTGCTTTTAGCCTGAGCTAAAAGGGAAAATTACTTTGACATTCCGACGGATGTATCACAGGTGCAAGAGAACAACAGACAGTCTCAGTCATGATAAAGACTGATACTGGCCTAGACCATGACTACCCACCATAAACTGCTTTTCGTCTTCAAAGTTTTGGTTTCAGACCATCCTTTGTGGTTACTTTAGGTCTCTGAGTTGGCGAGGCGGCCACGCAGGCTTCCCTTACCTAGCCAGGTTAGCATGCGGCTTCTTTCCGTCCAACCTTTCGCCCATTTTGTACGTGGAGAGCCTCTGTGGCCCTGACAAACCTCGCCTCTCTCCTCTGCGCCCCAGGTTCCCCTGATGCACTTCCTTCCGGGCGCCGGCAAAGTCCCGCCTTCCCACGGCTCTAAAACCCCGCCTTCTTGCTGTTCCGATTGACAGTCGATCCGACCAATCAGCGTGCTGTGGGCTGCCCTCTGGACACATGCGCATTGATGTCGCAGGGGGGAATGGGTGGCTGCCGGGTGCTGGGCCAGGTCTGGGGTGGCTGGTGGCGGGGGCCAGGGGTCGTCTCAGCTCGCAAGGTCGCAAGCTTTGGCACCGAGGCCCGGTGATTACACACATCCCCATACACACTTCCGGGGTGGGGTGGGGGTGGGGCTGGGGGAAGGTGTGTGCGGGATCTAGAGTTCGGAAGATAAGGGTTCTAATGCTGGTTCTGCTGTTTGATGGCACATTAGTCACTAGTCCTCTCTGAGCCTCAGTTTTCTCCTCTGTAAAATGGGGCCACTTTAGGAAGTAAGCGATCACAAATTCCTTTATTGTTATTGAGTTAATTTGTTGCCTGTGTGGAGGTTAGAATGTGCAGCACCTCGGTAAACGCACTACCCTGTTGCTTACTCCACCTTTCCCAGGCGTCAGCTGCAACCTCGGGGCTCCAGCAAACGATCAGGGACCCTGGGAAACCAGCCCTTCCCAGGGCTGCTGCAGCCGGAGAACCTCAGCCGGGAGGAGCTGGTCCATGTGCTGAGGGCATCTGTGGTGGACCAGAGAGGTGAGCGTGAGCGAGACAGCTGCTCAGAGACCGGGAGGGAGCTCGCTGCCCCTAACTTTCTGTAACAGTGTCAGTAAAAAAAAAAAAAAAAAATGAATTGAGAAAGTGCTTTGTAAACTCTAACTGCTGCTTTTTCTGTCAATGATGTTCCTGTATGTATGTTTTAGGACCATTGGTGACATTGAACAAGCCACAGGGTCTTCCAGTGACAGGTAAGAGCAGGGGAAGGAGATGCTCTGAAAGGGGGTTTGATGTCTCTAAGGAGGGAATAGTGAAGAGGAGGGGATGATGGGATAGAATTGCCTCTAGAGCAACTTGTATTTTTTTCTTTTTTCCAGGAAAACCAGGAGAGCTGACATTGTTGTCAGTGCTGCCAGAGCTGAGCCAGTCCCTGGGGCTTGGGGAGCAGGAGCTCCAGATTGTCCGAGCTTCTGGGAAGTAAGTGATGGGGGTGATAGGAAGCGGGGGGTAGGTATCCATCCAGGGTAAGGGAACAGTTGCTTGGAAATAAGCCGAGGTATTCCATGGCTGGTTTGGGATTGTAGAAATAGAATGCAAGGTGCAGGAGGGAACAGGCAGATCTGGGTTCAAATCCTCATGCACAAACTGGGATCTTAGGCAAAGCATGAACCCTCACTGAGCCTCAGTTTCCTTCATCAGTACATAGAGCTAATAATAGCAATGTTCGGCATGCAGTCACTTTTCCAAGTTCATACTCATGGCAGGCATTGGCCATGGATTGACCATCGATATTCTTTCTTCTAACCGCCATCAATTAGAGATGGTAGTTGAGAAGAAATATTTTTGCACTTTCACAAACTTCTTGTCTTGCTTGTGGGGTATTTAATGACTTCAGAGTTAATATATGTAAAATTAGTAGTAATAGTGCCTGGCACATGGTGGACACACAGCAGTGGGTGGTAATTGTTATGACGTTTAACTCTGAGCTCCCTGGGATCCAAGGCGGAATGACAGACACTTTGAGCTCCCCGTAGCCTTTTCCAGCACGAGGAAGCCCCGTTCCCCTTGGAGGAGGTCTGGGTTATCATCTGGTATTACTGTTTGGCCTTACACAGGTCCGTGTTCCTCCCTTGTCTGTGAATGAGCCCGAGGGACTTTAACTTGCATGACTTTGTCCCCTTCCTGCAGGGAGGCCTCTGGGCTTGTCCTCCTCTCCAGTTGTCCCCAGACAGCGAGCCGCCTCCAGAAGTTCTTCGCCCACTCACGGAGAGCCCAGACACCCACAGCCACCTACTGGTGAGAGGCGCTGGCAGGCTCCCGGGGCAGCGGGGCGGTCCCGCCACGCCGCTCTGCGACCGACCGCCTCCTGCCTCTTCCTCAGGGCTGTCACTGATGGGATCCCCGCGACTTCAGAGGGGAGGATCCAAGCAGCTCTGAAACTGGAATATGTTGATGACGTCGGTTTGGTGAGTCAGGGTCTGGGTGGGGGACTCTCCAACATATTTTATTGATTTTTCACAGAGAGGAAGGGAGAGAGAGAGAGAGAGCTAGAAACGTCGATGAGAGGGAAACATCGACCAGCTGCCTCCTGCACACCCCCTACTGGGGATGTGCCCGCAACCAACGTACATGCCCTTGACCGGAATCGAACCTGGGACCTTTCAGTCCGCAGACCGATGTTCTACCATTGAGCCAAACCGGTTTCGGCCGACATACTACTCTTACAGGGGAGTTAAGGGCATAGACTCGGAGTAGCTGGTTCTCCTGTCTCCCAAAACGGGCAAGTGACCACTGCCTGTACTGCCTGTCCTGAGTAGCAGGGAGGGTTTGGATGTAGCTCCCGGGTGTGTGTGTGTATGTGTGAAGCATGTTCATTCTCGGGGGCTGGTACCACAGGCAGTTCCAGTGAAGTCCCCGTCCCGAAACGACATCCTGGAAGGTGTCAAGAGGACCCTGAGCCACTTCCGTGTGGTGGCCACAGGCCCTGGCTGTGCTCTGGTCGAGCTGCAACCCCTGACAGGTGGGTCTGGAGCCCCAGCCAGAGGTTAGAACTGTATTTGGCTGGGGAGGTGAGGGAGTGGGGGGAAGGTGGTAGTGTTAGGAGCAGCCTGAAGAGCATTTGATGGACCCCAAAGCTGTATGCGACCAGACCCAGGTTGTCTTCTGTTGTCAATCTAATGGTCATTCCTTTGTAGCTCATCCATTTTTTTTTTTCTCTTATTGACCTCAGGGTCTTCTCTTTGTCCTTGGTGTTCTGTAGTGTCCCTATGATACATCTAGGTGTGGGGGTTTATTTTTATTTATGTTGCTTGGGATTCACGGTGCTTCCTGAATCTGAAGATTAATATATTGCACAAATCCTGGAAAGCTCTCTCTCCAAATGTTGTGCCTCTTGGATTCTTTCTATTCTTCTCCTTTTCAATGTCTACTAGACAGGTCTGACCTTCTCATTCTATTCCCTATTCACTTTTCTTTCCTATTTTTTTTTTTATTTCTTTATCTCTGCTGCATTCTGGGTAACTTCTTTACTTTTAATTGATTTGAGAGAGAGAAAGAGAGAGAGAGAGAGAAAGAGAGAGAGAGAGAGAGAAAGGAAGGGAGAGAAACACCCATCTGTTGCTCCACTTATTTATATGCAGTCATTGGCATAAATATGCGTGTTGACTGGGATTGAACCCTCAACCTTGGTGTATTGGGATGACACTCTAACCAACAGAGTTATCTGGCCTGGATCTAAAGAAATTGATAGATCAATTTCTTTAGATCTATCTTCCAGTTGAGTAATTTTCCTTTAATTGGATCTAATCTGCAAATGTAACCTATCCATTAACTATATTTTTCACTTCTAGAACTTCTATTTGGGTCTTTTATAAATACAAATGGCCTTTTAAAAAACATGACATGTTTTTTTACCCATATTATTTGTTTTTTGTTTTTTTTGGGGGGAAGGTTGGTCTTTAATAATTTTAAACAATTGTGTTTCTATAATTCCATTGTCTGAAATTCTTGAGGGTATAATTCTATTGTGTTTCCCACCCACTCTCTCACTTGGTGGGTTAGGTTCAGCTGGGCTCCTGTGAAAACCCTTTATTGCCTCATTGGATGTGGGCCCTTTGGGAGAGGTTTCGCCTTTGCTTCTGCTGAATGCCAGGACTATCACTACTTTAGGATCTCCCTAAATAGTAGTTTCAGTCGGAAGTTCACAGATCATCCGAGACGTATTAGAACCCCAAACCTGTGTGAGAACAGGCTCATGGCCATGAATTTTAAGGGGAATGGTTCATTCCTTTTATCCAGCCCTACGGTAATCCTCTGCCTTCCTTGGTGGCTGGCTTTTTCTCCGGTCCACCATTTTCATTGGGGCAGCAAGGCCTCATGCTTTATACCCAGTAGCTTCAGCAATAAATTCAGGGTGGCCTCTCGTCATGGGTGAATCTCACAGGCCAGCTGTCCTATTCTGACCTGGTCATGTGCCCTCCTGGGGAGGCCTGGGACAGTAGCATCCGCCTCACTAAAGCCACCTGATCTGAGTGAGCATGGGGGTGGTGTTTCCCCAGAGGAAATGGGGTCAGATGATACTGGGTAGGATGGAGAGCAGCTGCTAACCATCTGATCTCTCTGCTATCTCCTAGTGTTCGCCAGTCAGCTACAGGTACACATGGTCCTCCAGCTCTGCCCCATGCTCGGGGACCACACGTATTCAGCCCGCGTGGGCACTGTCCTGGGCCAACGCTTTCTACTGCCAGCCGAGAGCACCAAGCCCCAAAAACAGGTACCCACGCTGACCTGAGCTGTCTTCTGCCTCCTGGGGCTGGGCTGGGGGACCAGGGTGGGCAGATCGCCAGGCCTTACCTCTGCAGCGTGGGGCTGGGCGGCGGGCCCTCGTGGCTTCCAAAGGTGCTGAGGCCCTGTCTTGCTGTATGGCCGTGAGCAAGTGACACCCCCTCTCCTGGGCCCCGTTCTGCCCCATCTGTCCACAAAGAAGGCTGAACCAGCTGGTTTCTAAAGGCCCTTCTAAGGCTGCTGCTCTTTGAGTCTCTCTGGTAAAAGGGGTAAGAGAGGTTGTGTGTATTAGGTAACCATCAGTTCTACCAGACGAGCCCCAAAGTCCTGGGGTCTTTAACACATGAACTTCCCAATTAATAAATCCAACTAATGGGGGTGGGGCAGAGGTGAGCTCTGCTCCAAGGAGTCACTCAGGGACCCAGGCGGTTGCTATCTAGCCAGCAGACAAGTGGGGACAGTGCAGGTTCCCGTGGGAGATTTTCATGGGCCAGGTCTGGAGGTGACATACATACAAACACCCCCTTTCCATTGGCTAGAGCTCAATCACATGTCCTCACCAAACTGCACGAGGGGCTGGGAAATGTCATTCAGCTCTATGCCCAGGCACAAACTGAATTGGTGAACCCCTAGCCATAGCGAGCACACGTGGCACACGTGGGAAGGAAATGAATAACTACAGATGTGGCGGGAAGGAGGAAGTACTTGCCTAACCCCCATTTTGGTGAGAGCTGGTTGGAACTGGCCTGGCTGATGCTGACATGCCTCTCCCCGCGCAGGTCCTGGATGAAGCCCTCCTCGGACGCCTCCGCCTGACGCCTGCCCAGGCCGCCCAGATGCCCCTGCACCTCCACCTGCGCTGTCTCCGCCTCCCCGGCCCCAGGCCCAGCGATGCCCCCCCCATAGAGCTTTGGGCACCTTTGCCCCCTTATTTCTCCAGAACCCTACAGTGCCTGGGGCTCCGCCAGCAATAGTTCTTCCGTTCCTACTGGAGAGCGGTGGGTGTGGGGGCCTGCAGGCTGGAGGGGAATGAGCTCGGTGTGCAGCCTGCGGTGAGGTCATGGTTTAGGCTCTGCTGTTGGACTGACCGAAGATCGCATCCTGGCCAGGCACTTGCTGTGTGATGTTGGACAAATAACTTCACCTCTGGATTTAAGATAATACATGTACTTAACTCATAGTATGGTTTTGAGGATTTGCTGAGAAAGTAAAACGTTTACCATGAACCATGCTTTCTGTTGAGTTCAAAGTGTGCCCTTTTATTTAGCTGTTTTTGCCCCAATTCTAGTTGGGAAGAAATGTTAGATTTTTAAAAGTGTGATAATACACACCTAACAAGATTTACCCTCTTACCGTTGGTAAGTGTACAGTTCCGTGGGCATTAAGCACATTCACAACGTCTTGCAACCATCACCATTTTCTGTCTCTAGAACTCTCTCATTTTCCGGAACTGAAACTCTGTACCCATTAAACACTAAATCCCCATTCCCCTCCCTGCCCCTGCTAGCCACACTTCTCCTTCGTCTCTGTGAATTTGACTACTCTAGAGAACCTCATGTAAGAAAGATGTGGGGATTTTTTTGTTTTTGGTGTTTTTTTTTTACTTTAAAATTTTGTGAAATAGATTAAACATACAGAGTGCATAAAACATCTCTGTGACTTAAATAATAATTATAAATGGATCCCTACAGAACCATTACTTGGCATGAAATAGAAACATCCTCTCTTGTGAAGCAGCAGTTCTCAACTCTGAATCACATTAGAATGCCTCTTACACACCCCCCACCGGGGATGTGCCCGCAACCAAGGTCCATGCCCCTGACCGGAATCGAACCCGGGACCTTTCAGTCCGCAGACCGACGCTCTATCCACTGAGCCAAACCGGCTTCGGCTCATCTCAAGATCTTGACAAGATACTACATCTACAAAGATCCTTTTACCAAATAAAATCATTAACAGGTTCTAGGTAGACACATCTTGGCGGGGGTAGGGGGATAGGGGGGTGGGGACACACACCATTCAATCCATTACAACTAAGAAATATCTAATGATGATATTTCCAGATGAACATGGCTTGTTGGATATCTTCCTTTTAGGTGACCTTGGCCCTTGTGAGGAAGGGACAGACCCACTATCTCTGGAGAAGGGCTGGGTGGGGTTCAGGCAAGGTCCACCCTTACCCCTATGTCTCACGTTGTAAATCTGTGGGCATTAGATGTCAGTCCAGCTCCTCCTTTGGTTTTGGGGGGCTCCCAGTGGTCAGCCATTCTGGCAGTGTGTCCCCAGACTTCTGCCCACTGCCCCCATGATCTTGGGAAAGCCACGTCTCCTCGTTCAGACTCTGTAAAGTAAGGCTTATCCCCCACCCCAAGTTCAGAGAGTTCTGGAACAGGAAGCACCATGTCTGCCACTATGTGGGACTCCTGGGCCTTGCTTTCCTGAAGGATTGCTAATGGCCTCTAACTCTTGTTGTGGGCCTCGGGGTACAGAGCCCCACACTACCCTCTCCTCGCCCTCCAACAGAAACGGAGCCAAGCCAACAATACTTTACTTGCTCCTTTTTATTTGGCGCGGCACCCGGCCTAGGGACAGTGAGGCCTGAAGCAAGGGCTTCTTTAGCTTCACATCCCCCATACCCCCGACCCTCTGATGTGCGCTGATTAGAGGCAGGGTACCCGGAAGGTTCAGCACCTTCATAGGGTATGCTTCCGTCTTGGATCTGTCACAGAGCGTGGCCTTGAAGTCGCCTTTGGCCTTGATACTCCTGTGTGTGCTAGGGAGATTTCCAACCTCAAAGGGTTGAGGCCGCAAGGCACCTCCAGGATAAGGACCGTGAATGCGCTTGGGAGCAACAGCCTCGGTGCAAAAGAGGGGAGAAAGGGAAGAGATGATCAGGAATGTGTCCGGGAAGGAAATTCTGAGGGAAACAAGCCCTCCCCTTGGGGTCCCAGCCAACCTGGGAGCTGCCCTCTGCCTGCGCCCTCAAGCCCTGACCCCATCACTCAGCACTGCCCACCAGGGGAGCGAGTCATATAGTTTGAGCCCACCTTTCTTGGTTTCAGGATGGCGGGTGCCTGCTTGAGCTCCGGCGATGAGAGGGAAATAAAAATCTTGGCTGTAGGTAGAATCATCAAGGGCTTGCCTGCGGTCAACAGGGCCTTAGAGCCCATCAGCTTGCTGTGCTGCAGTCTCAGGACCCGCCCCTGGGGTTGGAGCACATGGAGAGAAGGCAGCCGCACCATGTTGTGGAGGCTGGGGAAGAGGTAAGGGGCTGTGGGAGCAAGAGGTGCTGTGAAGGCCTGGGAGGGCCCAAGTCTGACCAGCTCCCCCTCTGTGCAGGTGTAGGGTGGGAGGTGGGGGGAGATGAAGGCTGGGGGCAGATGAAGGCAGATGGAGCCCTCCCAGAGGCCACGGTGTGGAGTCCCAACAGACCTGGGTCTGCATCCCATCTCTGCCCCTTCTGAGCCGTGCCACCTCGGGCAACTTCCTTAAACTTCCTGCTACCTCAATGGGGATCACAGCACCAGCCTCGCGAGGTGGTGAGGACTAAAGGAGCTCATTAGGTAGCAACACAGGGTAAAGGGTTCAGTGCCAGGCAGATGTTCGTTCCTTTCCCCCAGAGGCAAAGGCACAGGAGTGCGGCAGGAAAAGCTCAGGTGCTGGGGAGAGATCGGCCTGCAATGGAGTTCTGGCATCTTTGAAATAACTGCCTCACAAGGTGACTCTTTCGGAGGGGACAATACTCCCTCGGTTGTATATTTGTAAAAAATACATTGTAAGGGGAGGCTTTTACACGTTACTGGGTGGCTCTTGGTTGGGGCTCTGGGTCGGGGGGCAAATGCAGGTGGTTAGGAGGGTGGTCAAGAGCAGGAAGAAATTGCCTTGCGATCCTGGGGTGTTTGGGGGGAGTGGTCCTTCCCAGGGTCTGGAGGTTCTTCGGCCTCAATAGCAATCTGTTCAAGGAGGGGGACTGCCTATCCCCACTAGCAAAGGTCACGGTGAAAATGCAGCCCATCCTTGTGCAGGGTGGGTCCCACTTCTGGATACCGGAGTGGACCAGAGCTGTAGCACTTTTCGCCTTGCCCTTCTTCCCCTTCCCAGCAGCGGATGTGGTGGCCGTGGAGTCGGGTTTCTCGACGGGCCCCAGGCTCCTGGCCCCAGGAACTTTCCTAGGGACGGACATGTGGCTAAGGGTCCCCGAGTCCTTGCCTTCCCCAGAGCCTCGCTGGGTCAGGTGAGGGAGCGCCGTGTGGACCCCTGTCCGCCGGTGACACATCGCCGTGGGCTTCTTGATGGTGGAGCCCTCGACGAGGAGCCGGATACCAATATACTGGGGCACCTCCACGGCGGGCTGTGAGGAAGAGGAGGAGACAAGGCCTACTCGGACAGTGCTGCTGGAATCCAGGGCAGAGATGGATGGAGTTCGTTTCTCAGGCACCTAGTCAGGAGACATTTCTGGGCTGAGAAGAAGGAAGCCTATCTCTGCCCGAGGCCCTGGGATTAGTAACCCAGAGGAGCGGGGAGATCTCAGCCAAGCCTCCTCTCTACTTCCTTGCCCTCGTTAGCTGCCCTGGCTCCTGTGGGAACATGCATGGCTCTGCTCCACAGACCACTGCTGCCGGAAAGCTTCCCGAAAGGAGCTGGCTTCTCTGCAGAGAGAATTTGGAGTTATGACACCCAAACTGGTAAGAGGTTTACACCTCCCCAGAGCCTTACCTGAACCCAAGCTTTGTAGAAGCAGAAACTAAAAGCTTTAAAGAAGGCATTCTGGTCTAAACCGGTTTGGCTCAGTGGATAGAGCATCGGCCTGCGGACTGAAAGGTCCCAGGTTCGATTCCGGTCAGGGGGCATGTACCTGAGTTGCGGGCACATCCTCATTGGGGGGTGTGCAAGAGGCAGCTGATCGATGTTTCTCTCTCATCGATGTTTCTAGCTCTCTATCCCTCTCTCTTCCTCTCTGTAAAAAATCAATAAAATATATATTTAAAAAAAAAAAAAAAGAAGGCATTCTGTGGAGGGAATGAAGTAGCAAATAGGCAGAGGGAGGCAGAGAAATTGCTTCTGTGCAATATCAGTTCCTATAAAGCCAAGCTGGCCCGGCCAGTGTGGCTCAGTGGTTGAGATCTATGAACCAGGAGATCACAGTCTGATTCCCCGTCAGGGCCCATGGACAGGTTGTAGGCTCCATCCCCCGTAGTGGGTGTGCAGTAGGCAGCCGTACAATAATTTCTCTCATCACTGATGTTTCTCTCTCTCCCATTCTGAAATTAATAAAAATACATTTATTAAAAAAGAAAAAAAAAGCCAAGCGTACTGGCTGGGCTCCAGGAGCACTCCTGTGTCTTGCTAAGAACGCTTCTCTTAACCCAGAGCTAGGCTGAGGTGTTCTCTGTGTCGTCCAAGAATCCTGATGAGAGTCTATCTAAACAGGGTCATTTGCAGCTTGTTCAAAATCCAGGTCTCAGAGCTCCCGGAAAGCTCAGCTGATGAGGAAAAGTTCATCTTGAAAGAGGAATCTCAGTTAATGTAGAAGGAAAGAGAATTAGAAACTTACCATTTTGTAACTAATACAAAAGGCAAGAACTAAAGCTGGATATCAAAACAAGTAGTTGAAAAGGATGACAGGAAAATGAGTCATTTGCACAGGACCAAAGTATCACCTTACAAAGTAACTGATCATTGCAAAGGGGAAGATACAACTTACAGCAGAGAGATCTGGTAGCCACCACCTTCCCCCCACGGTCAGGCTTAGCATCACTAATCGCAAGACACTCGGACACTGTGCCTTGGGACACTGTATGAAGTACCCAGCATCACCTCTCAGGGGGTCTTGCCAACTTCTAATCTGAACCTCATCAGGCTGTTTGACCTAACTTCTACTTTACAGGACATTCAGATAACAGATGAACAGTTAAAAACCACCCCAAAGAAACAATCAGATAAACCCAGAATGTGGGACAGTTCTACAAAACAATATCCTGATCCCTTCAAAAGATCCCAAATGAGGGGGCGGGGGAGGTAGCAGTGGGGCTGTTCTAGATTTAAAGAGATTAAAGGCCCTAGCCCATTTGGCCAGTGGATAGAGTGTTGGCTGGTCGATTGAAAGGTCCAGGGTTCGATTCCGGTCAAGGGCACATGCCTGGGTTTCGGGCTTGATCCTCAGTGGGAGGTGTGCAGGAGGCAGCCGGTCAATGATCTCTCATCATTGATGTTTCTATCTCTCCCTCTCCCTTCCTCTCCGAAATTTATATATAAATATATATATATATATATATATATATATATATATATATATATATAATTTAAATATATTTTTATTGATTTTTTACAGAAAGGAAGGGATAAAGAGTTAGAAAAAACAATGAGAGAGAAACATTAATCGGCTGCCTCCTGCACCCCTCACTGGGTATGTGCCCGCAACCAAGGTATGTATCCTTGTCCAGAATTGAACCTGAACCAGAATCGAACTTTCTTTTTTCTTTTCTTTTTCTTTTCTTTTCTCTCTCTTTTTTTTTTTTAACATATTTTATTGATTTTTTACAGAGAGGAAGGGAGAGGGATAGAGGGTTAGAAACATCGATGAGAGAGGAATATCGATCAGCTGCCTCCTGTACACCTCCTATTGGAGATGTGCCCGCAACCAAGGTATAGGCCCTTGACCGGAATCGAACCCGGGACCCTTAAGTCCACAGGCTGATGCTCTATCCACTGAGCCAAACCGGTTTTGGCAAAATATGATAGAAGCATCCCTATCTTACAGATGAGGAAGCAGATGTACTAAGTCACTGGGCAGGACCGGACTTGAACTGGGTCTGTCTACTTGCAGTGTCCTTCGCCTTACTATGGGGCTATGGGGAAGGGATGAAGATTCCCTGGGGTCACACCTGGGCCTGGACACCTCACCTGCTTGTAGATGAGCTCAAAGGCTCCCGTGTCACAGCTTCGGTCCAGCCGCCGGTCAATGACCACACGCAGGGTGTCGGCTTGCACGCCGGCACAGAGCTGGGCGGTGACGGACGTGGAGGGCGCCATGGTGGGGCTGGCATTGATCTCGATCAACCAGGGTTGGAAGTTTTCGCCAAACACAAAGTCAGCACCGTAAAGCTCAAAGCTGGCCTTCCGACACTGCACCGTGTCCTGGGAGGTCTGCAGGGCATGGATCACCGCCGCCTTCATGCCAGGCACAATGACGCTGGACCAGGCATGGGGGGCCCCCATGTCCTGCAGGTAGGTCTGGAACTTCTGGCTCGGCCACATGTTGTTTGAGGGCAGCATCGGGTGCCGATGGCACGAGTTCTCCAGGTGCTTCTGGATGGAGTTGTTGCACAGGTGCACGGAGCTGGGCAGAGAACAGAAAGCTGAGCTCTGAGCCTCTCGGCCCCTCCCGTCCAAACCTGGGGCGAGCAGGCAGACCCTGGGCCCAGCTCCGGACCATTCCACACAGTGGGACCATTCAACTTGAGATGGTTTCCTGCTCGGGTCCATAACATTCTTCTAGGGCCAGAACCAATTCTCTCTCTCAGGACGTCTTCTGGGGGCATTGATTTCCAGGGAACACAATATTAAGTGCTTTGGGCCAGCGTCAGTTAACCCTTTACCTGGGAGGGGTTAACTGACGCTGGCCCAAAGCACTTAATATGGGAGATAAGAAGGTGGGTAAGCCAGGACCGGTTTGGCTCAGTGGATAGAGCATTGGCCTGCGGACTGAAAGGCTCGGGTTCGATTTCGGTCAAGGGCATGTACCTTAGTTGCAGGCACATCCCCTGTGGGGGGTGTGCAAGAAGCGGCTGGTCGATGTTTCTCTCTCATTGACATTTCTAACTCTCTGTCCCTCTCATTCCTCTCTGTGTAAAATCAATAAAATATATTAAAAAAAAAAAAAAAAAAGGTGGGTAAGAGTACGGGCCTTGCAGTCACTAAGGCATGTGCTCAAATCCTCTCTTCACCACTGACTAGTTGTGAGATGTTTCCTCTCACCCCACACATTAATGATGCAACTTGCTCTGTTCCTCTCAAATTTCTCCTGACCCCTCTTTACCCTGCTCTCCATTTTTATTTTTCATATCACCTTTTAGCCCATTAGATGATTTTACTTATTAGGTTCATTGCTTGTCTGTTTCTCCCATTAGACTGTGAACTCCTGAGAGAGCGCTAGGCTCTTGTTTTGTTCACCACTGTGTCCCAAGCGCCTGGAACAGAGAAGGCACAGGGTACACACTCAGTAAGAACGGTGGGTGGAAGGATGGTGCGATGGATGGCGGGATGGACGGAGGGTCTGCCTGCCTGCGGAGTCTGTGTTTGGAGCCCAGCATTACAAGGGAATTTCCTGTTTCTTGCCAGCTTCCCAACTAGACAGGGGGCTCATGGGAGAAGAGTGGAGGGGCTCACTTGTCCAGGTTCTTCAGGGAGAAGGGCTGCGTGGAAAAGCGGATGTAGCTGTCGTGGTAGAACCACACGGTAAGTGGATTCCAGTCGGTCACCAGGAACCACTGTCTCAGGTCAAACTTGGTGCCAAAGATGAGCAGGGGCCGCTCGATATACTTCTGCACAACCCACTTGCCATCCTTCACCATCATGGGGTTGCCGTCCACCAGTTTCAGAATCTCCTCCAGGTGGTCCATGCACATGATGCCTAAGGGGGAAATGGAGTGGCCAGGGACCAGGGCAGGCTTTGGTTGGCAGAGAGCTGGAGACCATAGAGAGCTCACCGTAAGCTCTCAGCCCCACAGAAAAGACAGGGCCAGTAGGTAAGGCTGCCTGCCTCAATAAGAACCCTTTGCCTTTGGGAAAGTTGAAAATCTGCTAAGGGCTTAAATATTCTAAAATTAATTCCTTTCACCCTGGTTTGTGTGGCTCAGTTGGTTGGGAGTCATCCCATGCACCAAAAGGTTGCCGGTTTGATCCGCAGCCAGGGCACATGCCCAGGTTGCAGGCTCGTTACCGAGTAGGGAGCATGCAGAAGGCAGCCAACAGATGCTTCACTCTCACATAGATGTTTCTCTCTCTCCCTCTCCTTTCCCCTCTCTCTAAAAACCTATTCAAGTTTGCATGAAAAGGAATATATACATGAATAAAATTTCAGACAACACTGTGCTTTTGGAAAACCATGCACAGCCGTGGGAAATGATGTTCAGTGATTAGAGTGTCAGCCTGTGCAGGGGGGAGGGTTTTTTTTTTGCAGGTCCCTAAGGGGGCATGTATGGAAGACAACCAATTGATGTGTTTCTTTCTTTCTCTCTCTTTCCTCCTCCTTCCCTTCCACTGTCTCTTTAAAAAAAGAACCAATGGAAAAATATACTCGGGTGAGGATTAACAAAAAATAAATACATACACACACCCACATACTATGTGCATATATGACTTTGATTAGTTTTTTTCAACATAATTAACAATATAAAATGAGCCGGGACCAGTTTGGCTCAATGGATAGAGCGTCGGCTTGGGGACTGAAGGGTCCCAGGTTCGATTCCGGTCGGGGGCATGTGCCTTGGTTGCGGGCATATCCCCAGGGGGTGTGTGTGCAGGAGGCAGCTAATTGATAACTCTCTCTCATCGATGTTTCTAACTCTCTATCTCTCTCCCTCTCTGTACAAAATCAATAAAATATATTTTTATAAAAAAACAATATAAAATGAGAAACAAAGTAGATAGTACAAAAGGATATACAATTAAGAACATCTCCTTCCTCAGAGGCAGCCAACTTCAGCTTTCAGGTCCTATGGGTATCCTTCCAGGTGTGGGAGAGTCTACTAGTATGTGTGCCTCAGTTTCATGGGATTCTATACATTTAAATATGTTACGGACATAGAATAGTGCTCGGCACATGATGAGCTCTCGGTAAATGTTGACTCATACCATTATTATCAGTCACCTGTGGAATGAATTTCTAGCCCTCGATTTGCTGGTGCCAAGGTATGTGCATTTTTCCATTTTAAAATGCCCAAGATGTTACACTGATCTGCACTCCAAGCAAGAGTGTATGTCACTGCATTTGCCTGCATCCTACCTAACATTTGTTTTTGCCATTATCCTGGGTAGAAAATGGTATCTTATTTTAAAAAACTAGTGAAGTATCTTAGCTTATAAGGCATCATTTTTTTTTATATTTTATTGATTTTTTGCAGAGAGGAAGGAAGAGGGATAGAGAGTTAGAAACATCAATGAGAGAATCATCGATCAGCTGCCTCTTGCACACCCCCTACTGGGGATGTGCCCGCAACCAAAGTACATGCCCTTGACCGGAATCGAACCTGGGACCTTTCAGTCCGCAGGCCAACACTCTATCCATTGAGCCAAACCGGTTTTGGCATAAGGCATCATTTTAATGCCGATAAATATCAGAATTGCATTTGCAAACCACACACATGTACACACACTCACAAATCAGCCCCATTCTTCATTGTTAGGCCCCCAAACAGCCTGATCTCCTGCCAAGGACACAGAATAATTTGTGACTGGTTCTCAAGCTAGGTCCTTTCTCAAATGGCTAGAATGATAACCAAGATTCCCCCAAACATGATGCTCAGAGTAAAAAAAGATTAATAGGGATCACCATTGTGGGGAGGTAGAGACTGAGAGGAATTATGGGCGTGGCCTTGGTGCAAATGTTTCCTTTCTTCTTTTCTACCTTCCTTTCTATCTTTCTTCCTTTCTTTCAGAGAGGGAAGACAGAAGAAAGAGAATCATCATTTTGTTTTTCCACTTATTTATGTATTCATTGATTTTTAGAAAAAAAAATATATCTTATTGCCCTGACCGGTTTGGCTCAGTGGATAGAGCACTGACCCGCAGGCTGAAAGGTCCCAGGTTCAATTCCAGTCAGGAACATATACCTTGGTTGCAGGCACATCCCTAGTGGGGGGTGTGCAAGAGGCAGCTGATTGATGTCTCTCATTGATGTTTCTTACTCTCTGTCCCTCTCCCTTCCTCTCTGTGAAAAATCAATAAAATATATTTGAAAGTATATATACATATATATTTTTATTGATTTTAGAGAGGAAGGAAGAGGGAGAGAGATAGAAACATCAATGATGAGAATCATTGACCGGCTGCCTCCCGCACGCACGCCCCTCCGCCCCCTCCCCCCGCCCACTGGGGACCGAACCAGCAACCCAGGCATGTGCCCTTGGCTGCAATTGAATCCAGACCCTTCAGTCCACAGGCCAATGCTCTATCCACGGAGCCAAACCAGCTAGGGCTGTATTCATTGACTGATTCTTTTATGTGCCCTGATGGAGGAATCGGACCCAAAACCTTGGCATATAGGGATGACGCTCTAACCAACTGAGCTACCCGGCCAGGACCAGGTAATGTTTTATTTCATGATCTGGGTGCTCTTTCCTCAACTGCAACAATTCATTGACTTGTATACTCACAATGTGAGCCCTTTTCAATGAGGCATGTTATATATACATTTCAATTAACTTTTTCTAAAAATGGAGAGAGAATTTTTAAATTTGGAGCTAGGTATGTGGGAATTCATTGTATTATTCTTGCTAGTTGGTGTCTTTTAAAAGTACCCATAACAATAAGCTAAATTTAAAAGAAAGGCAGATGTAGGTGTTCTGAAATAGGGTGATCTCCAAGATCTACTATTAAGAAGAAATATGCAAAGAATAAATGAGTAATACTAATTCATATTGAAAGAGATGGAAAAATGAATGGTATGTTTTGTTTAAAATAAATCTCTCTCTCCAAATGCAAAGAGGAAGTATAGAAAAAACACATCAAAAGGTTAACAGTAGTTATCTCAGTGTAATCAAGGGTGGCTTTTGGTTTTGTCTTTCTACTTTACTGTATTGTCTAATTTCTTAAATATAAAAACAGGTATTTTCATACTGAGAAAAAACCAACAAAAGTATTTCCAGGGTAGAAAAAGAGAGACCACAGTGCTGGTTGAAGTGACATTCCCATGAGAGCGCCCCACAGTTTGGAGCTGTAACAGCTTCACTTGAACGTGAACAAATTTATTTGGAGGGATCTGCCAAAAGTCTGTTTTCTACATCCCAGAAGCGAGTCCTTAACCAGTGTTTAAAGGCTGGGCAAAGGCACAACCCCAAGTGCTGGCTCTCCTGTTCAGATTCCATTCATAGGGGGCCGAGCAGCCAGAATAATAGCTAAACATAACAGCATTTATATAGCAGTTACTATGTAAACGCACAGGATCTAAGTATTTTACATATATTATACTTATCTAATCCTCTCGGGAAGGTATTATTGACTTTATTTTACCAATGACGAAAATGAGGCATGAGAGATTAACTTAACCTGACCAAAACTTTACAAATAGCAGGAGGTAGAGCTGGGGTTTGAACCCAGGCATTCCGGCTCCTAGCATCCATACCCTTAACCATTATGCTATATACCTTACAAGGGTGGTCAGATCCAAGAGCCCTTAGATGACAAGCACCTGCACATGAGTATCACCAGACCTACCTGAAGCATCATCCCAACTCTGAGGGCAGGAGAGGAGAAGCTGCATCGTCACAGCAACCAGCCTCTATGGGATGATTACTCTGTGCCAAGCACCAGGCTGAGCCTTAGATGCACTTCATAGGAAGTCTCATCCTCTCTCATGGATGAGGGGACTGGGGTTCAGAGAGGTGATGTAACTTGCTCAAGGTTACACCGCACACTGATAGCAGAGCTGGGATTCACATAGAGGCAGCCTGACTCCAATAGAGTCTGCACTATTGACAGCCTGGCCTCTAGACCAGCGGTCGCCAACCAGTGGTCCATGGACCACAGGTGGTCCGTGGGGTCCGAAAGGTTGGCGACCGCTGCTCCAGATGGTGAGGCAGGCTGCAGGTGCTGGTGCAGGAAGCAGGGGCCAACACCCACCTCGGCCACGGGACTTGGCTCCTGGCTTCACGATCCAGACGTTGCGATCTCCTTCCATGTCCATCTGGGGCACCAAGGCCCGCAGCCGCTGCAGGATGTCCTCACAGCGCTGGATCTGAGCGTTCAGGTGCCTGAGTTCGGCCCCCTCGCTGTTGGGGAGAGAATGGGTCTTGGGCAGGGCTGGGCCCAGGGGCAGCCTGGTGGACAAGGCAAAGGGAGACACAAGCTCCCCCTGGCCATGGTTCTACCAGTCTTGGTCGTGTCCCTCCCTCCCTAAAGATCCAGATAGGTTTCTCCCAAACCTCCACACCCACCCTCAAGCTGCCCCCACCCCCACATTCTTATCTACCCAGGGCATCATCCCAGACTGCTGGAAATGGGAAAAGGCACCACTCACTATACCCCACACCCACTCCAAAAACGCCATTTTCTGCCACCTCCCTTTCCGTTACATTGAAGTTGCCTCTGGCAGAATATAATCATACGGCATTTAATGGTGAGGGGCCACTTTGCGCCAGACTTCGTGGCGAAGGGCTTTACGTACATTATCATTAATCTTCTCCGTGGCCCTGCCAGGAAGGTATCACTGGTCCCATTTCAGAGCAGTGTAAACTGAAGCCTGGAGAGTTAAGAGACTTGCCCAAGGTCACAAGTTGATTTTCAGTGGCTGAGCCGGGACACAAACACCATCCTGCCTGATTCCTCCATCACAGGTGCTTTTGAGGGTTCATTGCCCTTCTCATCTGGACCTAACACTGGTTGATAGGTGAATCCCTTCCTGGCCTAATTCTTTCCAAGTACATCTGTATCACACATCTCCTCGCTCTATTTCTCTTCTCTTCCTATCACCTACCCACTGACATCTACACTCATTGGTTACATGTGTCTCCCCTCAATGGCATGTAAGCTCCCTAAGAGCAAGGACATTTATGTAGCTGTTATTCTCGGTTGCATTCCCATCTCCAAGCAGTATACCGGCACTCCCTACAAGTTTGCTAAATGAATGAATGGTTGGATAAGCAAGTACTTTGGCAGGAGCTTGCCTCCGTAACTGGGCTGCACAGACTGGGATTCACGGACAAAGAGAGACCCTGTTCCCTACAGCAGCAGTCACCAACTGGTGGTCTGTGGACCACTGGTCGTCTGTGAGGTCTGAAAGGTTGGCAAACGCTACCTTACAGGACACAAAATGTCCTAAAATAAACCAAGTCACAAAATACCCCAGCCGGGACCGGTTTGGCTCAGTGGATAGAGCGTCGGCCTGCAGGCTGGGGGGTCCCAGGTTCGATTTCGGTCAAGGGCATGTACCTTGGTTGCGGGCACATCCCCAGTAGGGGTGGTGCAACAGGCAACTGTTTCTCATCAATGTTTCTGACTCTATCCCTCTCTCGTCTTCTCTGTAAAAAATCAATACAAGCCGAAACCGGTTTGGCTCAATGGATAGAGCGTCGGCTTGGGGACTGAAAGGTCCCGGGTTCGATTCCGGTCAAGGGCATGTACCTTGGTTGTGGGCATATCCCCAGTAGGGGGTGTGCAAGAGGCAGCTGATCGATGACTCTCTCATCGATGTTTCTAACTCTCTGTCTCTCTCCCTCCCTCTCTGTACAAAATCAATGAAATATATTTTTTTAAAAATCAATACAATATATTTTTTAAAAATACCCCAGATGACTGCCTGGCAACTCTCCCATTTCTCCTCCTCTGAGTGGGAGGAGGAAGCCTCCTTTAACCCCTTAGCCTCTTGCATGTCTCCAGCCGCGGAGACCTTATCTTTCAACAGGGAGGCAGCAGCAACCCCGGGGGCGGAGCCAGGGACGGGGCAGCCTGATGGAAAGGGCACAGCAGGGCCTCTTAGTCACATCGAAGTCCTGACCCCTCCACTTCTAGAAGGTCTACTGGAAACTTTTCTCACAGTAAATCTGTGCTGTGGCCCAGAAAACTGTCACATGAGAAGGGCAGGGCACGTGTAATTTGAAAAAAGTATGTTCAACACGACAGTATGATTTTATATTTAGTAAAAAGGAAAACAACCAGTGTGTTTGTGGAAAGTCAACCTTAATAAAAGCCTGGCTGCTGAGTCATGGATTTGTTTTAAAAATTAAGAAACACAGCCGAGGCCGGTTTGGCTCAGTGGATAGAGCGTCGGCCTGCGGACTGAAGGGTCCTGGGTTCGATTCCGGTCGAGGGCATGTACCTTGGTTGCAGGCACATCCCCAGTAGGGGGTGTGCAGGAGGCAGCTGGTCGATGTTTCTCTCTCATCGACGTTTCTAGCTCTCTGTCCCTCTCAATTCCTCTCTGTATAAAATCAATAACATATATTTTTTAAAAAAATAATTAATTAATAAATAAATTAAGAAACACAGACAAGCCGAAACCGGTTTGGCTCAGTGGATAGAGCATTGGCCTCCAGACTGAAAGGTTCCGGGTTCAATTCCAGTCAAGGGCATGTACATTGGTTGCGGACACATCCCCAGTAGGAGGTGTGCAGGAGACAGCTAATCGATGTCTCTCTCTCATAGATGTTTCTAGCTCTCTATCCCTCTCCTTTCCTCTCTGTAAGAAATCAATAAAGCATATTTAAAAAAAATAAAAATAAAAAGTGTTTCTATATAAAAAAAGAAAGAAAGATACACAGACAACAGCATGGTGATTCTAGAGGAAAAGGGGATTGGGGGGATTGAAAAGATAAGGGGGAGGGGCAAGTTGAGAAACATAACAGTTAATGTTGAATGAATTAATGAATGCTAACTATCTGTACTGAACAACTCAACACTATGTTATACGCTGCAATATTTCATGAAATTCTGACTTTTGAGAGTTCCTTCAGTCCTCTTAGAACCTGTCCTATACCCGGAAATAAATAAGGTTCAAATTATTTTTGCGTAATGTTCTAACGCAGGCTCAGTAATTCTTAGTTTAAGAAGGGTGACTTTACATGTTCTGGTAGCTAAGATGGAAGTATAGGGTCAATTTCATTTTCTGACATTCAAAGAAGATACAAATGAATTATTTACCGATGATGTGGGCTTGCTCAGTATGTCATTTATTTAAAGTTCATTTATTAGTTCTTCACTCTCCTCTATCAAATCATCCTTTTCTATTAGCCCCACCCCAGCTGAGGCCCTCAGCACTCCCATTTGAGTCTGTGTTCCTTGAGGGAAGGGACTATGTGTCATTTCTGGAGCCTGGCACAATACTTGGCACACAAGCTGGGTGTTCTCTTGCCCTGAGGAACTTCTCCCTCCTGTCTCTCCTGCACTCAGCCACTGATTGGAATCTCCCTACAACAGTTCCCGTGTCATCTCCACACTCCTTTCCTCTGCTCAAGAACCCTTTTCCACCCTGGCCGGTGCCTCAGTGGTTAGAGCATCAGCCCAAACACTGAAGGGTCTCGGGATTGATTCCTGGTCAAGGGCACACACAGATGCAGAAGGCAACCAATCGATGTATTTCTCTCTTCTCCTCCTTCCCTTCCTTTCACTTTCTCTAAAAAAATTTTTAAAAGAAAAAAAGGGGGAAAATCAATGGAAAAAGTATCGTTGGGTAAGGATTAACAACAACTATTACAAAAAGAACTCTTTCCCAAAGTGGGTTCTGAAAACACAACCCCTCAGGACGCTTAGGGGGGAGGGGGGAGGATGCCACTAGGGTCATATAAGTAAGAATATAGAGTAAACCCTTAACATTGTCAATAAATTCTGCAACTAAGTGAAACGACGTGTAACAAAACAATTTTACCATAGGCTAATTGACATAAACAAAAGTTAAGTTTTATAGCATCTCATCATCATTATAACAAAACAGTTATTTGAGGACCTGCTGTATTGCATTCTCTCTCTCTCTCTCTCTCCCCTTCTCCCCCCCCCCCCCCCACCCAGGTATATACACTAATATATTCTGAAAGGCCCTGCACCAAGGAAACCTGTTTTAATGAACTCTGTTTAACCCAATGTTTTCCAAATACCAGTATGATTAACCACAAAAGAACCTCCCTTCCTCCCCCCACCCCAACAAAATAAATTTACATTCTTTAGAATTAGCATCCTATGTAACACACTTTCAGAAACGCTGGTCTCTAGGATAAAATCTAAATGACTAAGTAGATTCTTGTTTTGTGAGTGAATACTGAGTCTACGCTGAGCACAGGATACAAATTATCCTGTTGAATCCTACCTTTTGAGGAACATATTATCCTAACTACTTTGTATTTAAGGAAAAAGCTCAAAAAGACTGGTGACATTCCCAAGGTCACAGAGCTAGGACTGGAAGTGAGGTTGACCTGATAGCACAGGCCACGATCTTGGTGACTGCTAGGCCAAGATCCAGGAAGAATGCTTTGCACCCTACCATGAGGTAGTGGGAGCCCTTAAAAGTTCTTGAGCAGGAAAATACAGGGGGAACAAAAGAGGGAGGCTTAGGGAGGAGGTGCAGAGCTACACTACAAAGAGAGGGTTTGGCTGAAACCGGTTTGGCTGTGGATAGAGCATCAGTCAGCCTGAGGACTGAAAGGTCCCAGGTTCGATTCTCGTCAAGGGCATATACCTTGGTTGCAGGCACATCCCCAGTAGGGGACGTGCAAGAGGCAGCTGATCGATGACTCTCCCTCATCAATGTTTCTGACTATCCCTCTCTCTTCCTCTCTGTAAAAAAATCAATAATATATATATATATATATATATATATATATATATATATATTTTTTTTTTTTTTTTTTTTTTTTTTTTTAAAGAGAGAGGGTTTGTCTCTGACTGAGCATTAACTTAGAACATCGAGGCCCCCTGCAGCAAGGGGCACCTGGCCATGCCCCACGCCCTGGTGCAGGGTACTCACTGGACCACCTGGTAGTAGCGCTGTAGGAAGAGGGACCGGCCCTCAGGGCTGAGGGACAGCGGGGCCTCTGGGTCCCGGTCAATGTCCAGGTGGGCCAGGTTGTTCAGGTGCTCCTCGCAGGCGCACAGAGCCTCGTCCACAAACTCTGGGGTCACCGTCATTGGGTTTTTCTCCTGTTTCTTGTGCTGCTCGTCTGCTGCAGAGGGAGGGAGGGGCCTGTCACTCTCTGACAGGTAACCTGACACATGCCATGGCACCCACGGCTCCAACGCCTGTCACTTACTGGGAGACTCATCCTAAATACACCTGAGGCCCAGCACACACCTACATCTCTTCCTGCCCTGGGATATGCTACTTACCTGAGACTTTCTGCTAAATTCACCCAAGACCTAGTGCTCACCCTAGTTCCCCACGGCCCCAGGACCTGTCACTCACTTGAGGGTCCACCTTAACAGTGCCCAAGGGCCTCTCAGCACCGATAGCTCCAAACACATGCAGTCTCTGCTTGTGGGACCTCTGACACACTGTGGCCCTTTGTGCCCCTGATCCTGGCATACAACAGTCTTCTCTGCACCTGACACAACTAGGGAGCTGCAATGGGAAGGCCTCCCTCTGGAAGAGACAGGGATTTCCCATCTCCCAGCAGACCTGCCTCTTATGTCCCTGAATCCTTGGCTGATAGGTCCTGGATTACAGTATGGGATAGGAGCTAAGTCCAGAGAGAGAAAGGCAAGTAATAGGTTGAGCCAGCATGGAATGTGACATCCTCTCTGTCCCCCTCCACAAGGTACTAGGGGTCCTCAGACCATATGAAAAATATACAGTTTCACTGACCTCTTAGTCTGTCATTGCTAAAGAGCTGGCCATATGCCAGGCCCATGGGAGGGCTGCATGAGGCAGTGGGTCAATTAACAAATGGATAGGAAGAGGGGTGGGTATGGGTTGGGACAGAAGAATGGATGAGTGATGGATTGGAGTGCACACAGGTGATGGATAGGATGGAAAAGCAGGTGGATAGATGGGAAGAACGAGTAGGAAGGAGGAGGAGTGAAGAGATGGGTAGGAAATGTGTTGCTGAGAAGGTAGGTGAATGAGTAGATCAATAGTGTGGGGATAGGTGGAGAGATAGATGGATGAGTGGCTGCATTGGTAAGTGAATGTGAGATCGGTGGGTGTGTGGGTGAGCAGGTAGATAGATGAGTAGATGGATGGATGTGCTGGTGGGAAAGGGTAGTGGATGGGCAGATGGATGCGGATAATATAGGTAATTTATATAGATAATGTGTGGATGAATAATGAGTTGATGGGTGGGTGTATGGGAGGATAAATGGGTGAGGAAGTAGAGGGAATCACGTGGTATTTACCTGGGGCCTCTTCCTCTTTTGCGTGGATAGAGTATGACTTCCATTCGGACTTTACCACCAGCTTGAGAACGTTGCGGGCAGCTGTCAACCAGAAGTCCTCTGCTCCCAGGGCAGGAGATACTCTGCTCAGCCCTAGGCTCCAGGCCTATTCTGGTTCTGGAACCTGATCATGACCTGCCCCATTTTGGATCCAGAACCTGACTACTATAACCTCGCTCCTATTTCAACTATAGAATCACACCCAGAATCTGATCTGACTTGGCCCATATTCTGCCTTAAGAATCTTACCTAGCCGGAACCGGTTTGGCTCAGTGGATAGAGTGTGGACCTGTGGACTGACAGGTCCCAGGTTTGATTTGGGTCAAGGGCATGTACCTTGGTTGCGGGCACATCCCAGTAGGGTGGGGCTTGCAGGAGGCAGCTGATTGATGTTTCTCTCTCAGTGATGTTTCTAACTCTCTATCCCTCTCTCTTCCCCTCTGTGAAAAATCAATAAAATATATAAAATAAAAAATAAAAAAAATAATCTTACCTATGCCCAGTCTGCATGGCTCAGTGGTTGAGCATCGACCTAAGAACCACGGGGTCACAGTTTGATTCCGGTCAGGGCATATGCCAGGGTTGCAAGCTCGATCCCCCATATGGGGCATGCAGGATGCAGTTGATCAATGATTCTCTCATCATTGATATTTCTCTCTCTCTCTCTCTCTCTCTCTCTCGCTCTAATAGATATAGATATAGCTATATAGATATATGAAGAATCTCCCCCATACACAAAAAAAAATCTCATCCAGACCTGTTGTCTAATTTTTCTCTTCTTTCCCTGATAGACTCTTGATACTTATTCTAGTCTGAGAACCAAACCATGGTCTGGAGACTTAAACTTAAACCTACCATCTACTCATCCACTCTGACCTGAATTTAGAACATGTTCTGGAGTTGGAAACTATTCTGCCTTAGAAGTCCAAAGTCTTTTTTGGATTAAGAACCCAATCTAGCCAGTGGAATTTCACACAGGCTTGGATCCCAAACTCAGCCTGTTGATCAACTTTTAGAACCTGCTCCAGAATATAAGCTAAGCTAACTGGGATCTTCGGAAGGTCTGGGCTTACCAAGCTCACTAAGGGAGGCACCTTAGGGAAAGGTAAGAATTAGGGATGGAGAAGGAATTCTGTTGGGGTGGGCAAGAGAATAAAGAGAGAAGCCCTTTGCTCTCTTACACCAGCCAGGGCTTTAGCCTTCATCCTCAGCTGGACGGGTCCAGGCACAGGGCTAGGCAGCTCCTTACCTATGAAGGCCTTTTTGTCTTCCACAGCCCCCAGGTGGTAGCAGCGTGGGAAGAAGGAGTCAGCATCAGCCTTGTCAAACCATGGCAAATTCCGGAGATTGAGACATAGACCCACCTATGGAATTAGCTGATGAGGGGCAGGGTGGGACTTGCCCAGAGAACCTCACAGGGGCTCCCAACTGTCGGCACATGCCCAAACAGTTCAGGCAGACTCTACCTGGACATTCTCAGAGCCTCTGCCCACTTCGCTCATATCTCCATATATGTCCCTCTGCCGAGAATGCCCCACATCCCTCTGACCCACCCTTCCACATGCTTCCTCTAGGAATCCTTCCCAATCCACACCAAAAAACACACTAACAGGTCCCAATTATAAAGACTTCATTCTTGTCACAATCCTAGAAGCTAGTATTATTGGTATTCTCATTTAAAGATGAGGAAACTGAGGCTCAGAGAGGTGAAGTCACTGGTTAATAAACCCAGGTGAGATAGAATGGATTCATCAGCCAGATATCCTCTGCTAAAGAGATAAGGGCCCTCTCGCTCAGTCCTTGGACTTGGTGTTTGTTCTGGCTCCAGATCCCATTTGAATCCTATTTTAATCAATGTCTACATGTGCCAGACATGCTGCAGAGTTTGGATTTGAACTCAGGACTGTCCATCTCCAAATTCCACTGAATTGGATACCAAGTTTCTCCTGAGAACTCTCTCTTACTGACAAGGAGAGCAGGGAACTGGGGTGCTAGCCCAAGGGCGGGGGGAGGGGGAGAGGAAACTGTAATGCCTGTGTCCTGGGGAGCCCACCTTTGTGGTAAAGGAGCCAGCCCGGGCATAGTGGTTTATCATCTGATCCTTGGAGAGGAAGCGGCAGTCCAGCACATCCCGCCGAGTGGTCCAGATGAAGTAGGGGATCTCATTCCGAACCATGCGGGACTGGGGAGACAAGACATGGGAGGCTGGTGTGGGCAGCACAAGGCCTGAGGAGGCTTCTTCCTGCCCTGTTGGGCAGGGTGAGTGAGTGGAAAGAGAAGATACTTCCAAGGTGGCCTCTAGCCCACATACAATCTTTGTGTGAATTAAAAAAGAACAGCCAACACCGGTTTGGCTCAGTGAATAGAGCGTTGGCCTGCAGACTGAAAGGTCCCAGATTTGATTCAGGTCAGGGGCGTGTACTTTGGTTGCGGGTGCATCCCCAGTGTGTGTGTGTGTGTGTGTGTGTGTGTGTGTGTGTGTGGTGGTGGGGGGAAGGCAGCTGATTGATGTTTCTCTCTCATCAATGTTTCTAACTCTCGATCTCTCTCCCTTCCTCTCTGTAAAAAATCAATTAAAAAAAAAAATATATATATATGTATACATATTTAAAAAGAACAGCTCTTCCACCAGGGCACAAAATTGGTGAGCAGGGAGCAGACAGGCTTGCAAATTCTGTGGCCAAGTACCTCTAGGCAGTGACTAAGCCATACAGCTGAACACCATGCCTTGTTCTGGCCCGTGGCCATCATGGATTGCTCAGAGACAGGACAGTGACTCTAAGCGGATGGGCACATAGCATGTGACAAAGGCTCTCCATCTCTCTATCTCTCCTACAACTCTGAGAGGTAGGGTTATTAATAAGCAATAAGACCACATGCTAGACCATGTTCTCAGTACTTTCCATGTCCTTTCATTTAATCCTCACCAAATCCCTATGAGGCAGATGTTACTGTGGTCCCCATTTCACAAATGAGGGAACTGAGGCACAGGAAGAGTAAGGGACTTGTCCAAGGGCTGCCAGGGTTGAGCCATATGAAACTGAGAATACTCAACCTTTCCTGACATACAGAAATGGCAATTTGATAAATTCAATTTAGTAAGTGGTGGTGGAAAGACTCGAAGGCGAATATCCTCACCTCCACACACAAATCCTCCACACCATCATACCAGCCTCTTTCCAAGATTTTTTAAATTTTTTTTAAATTAAATTATTATCTTTGTACATATCTTTCCAAGCTTTTTAAACCCTTTCTTCCAGCCTTGGCTTGCCAAGGGCAAAGGAAAGAGATGAACTATGTGGCTTTTATTTGGAAGGGGGAATTCCTAGACATGGAGTTTGTGCCAGCTTCTGATACAATCTTAGCTGAGTTCTGATCCCAGGCTAGCCTTGTCTGAGCACTACTGTGTCCCTCACAACTCTGCTGGCCCATCCAAACTTTAGAGAAGTTTTATTGCATATGGGGAAACTGAGGCTCAGAGAAGGAAAGGACTTGTCTGGGGTCATCCAGCTGGACTCTAATGCTCTCCCTCCAACTAAGCAGGCCCCTGCCAGCCCCTTAGCCCTCACCATCACAGCATGTGTACCATCTAGGTCATCCAATTCCAGTGCTTCATCGTTGAAGGGTTGTGGTTGCTGGAACTCCTCGTCCTCATCTTGATCGTCTGCAAATGCAGAGAGAGAGCCCAGGCCTGGTGAGGCCCCTGTCCCCGCCCCATAGGCCCACGCCAAAGCCTCAACAGCGGATGCCAAAGGAAAGCCACTTGAGAGGGGCAGCTTGTGGAAATGGAGGGAACTGCTCACCATCCTCAGTGATGTCGCCATCGCCCATCACTGAGCTCGTCAGACGCTTTTGGGATGACAGTAGGTTGGTGCCTGGTGAATGGACCATCTTCTTCTCCACCCAGCCCCTGCGGCGCAAGAGGCGCCGGATCACCGGGTAGTGGCCTTGGATCATGAAGATCTTCTTCTGCTGTAAGGCGACAGGGGGATTCTTGCTCAGTGAGTGCTGCCTATGTGCCAGCCATAGGGAGTGGCGAACCAGAACTTTGTTATTCTAGTAGAGGAGACAGATTATAAACAAGTAGATATATAGATACGGTTGTATCAGAAGCTGGCATAATTTTGACTACAATATTATGATAATAGTTGATATTTATTGAGTACCTATATATATATGCCTGAGCAACTGTCGCAACCCAATGGATGAGAACAGGTTGTGTGGGGCGGCCAGGTTGGCAGAGGGGTTAGTGAGGGACGATCAAATGACCGAATAGCAGGCTGTGTGGGGCAACCAGGTCAGCATGGGAGGGATAGTTGGGGGCAATCAGACTGACTGGGGAAGGGGGGGCGGGGAACAGTTGGGGGCAATCAGTTCAGCAGGTGGATGCAGTTAGGGGTGATCAGACCAGCAGGGGGTCAGTTAGGGACAACCAGGCCGGCAGGGGGGACAGTAAGGAGCAATCAGGCCAGCAGGCTGAGGAGGTTACAGGTGATCAGGCTGGCAGGGGGGCAGTTAGGGGAGATCAGGCAGGAAGACAGGTAAGCGGTTAGAAGCCAGTGGTTCAGGATTGTGAGAGGGTGCAGGCTGGGCTGAGGAGACCCTCCCCCACGAAATTCGTGCACGGGATCTCTGTTAAAAATATATGTTATTGTTAGTAATATATATATAATCAGTTTTAACTGATTATGAAACAGAGGCATAGAGAGGTTGAATAGCTTGGCCACACAGTAATTAAATGAAAAAGTAGGAATTTAAATCCAGGCTGGCTGACTCCAAAAACTGGATACTTAATGGGGATCCAGAGAAACTAGAAATACAAAGCCAGGGATATGGAGAAGGAGTTGCAAATTAAAAGCTGAACAAATGGCCGAGACCGGTTTGGCTCAGTGGATAGAGCGTTGGCCTGCGGAATGAAAGGTCCCGGGTTCGATTCCGGTCAAGGGCATATACCTTGGTTGCCGGCACATCCCCAGTAGGGGGTGTGCAAGAGGCAGCTGATCGATGATTCTCTCTCATCGATGTTTCTAACTCTCTATCCCTCTCTCTTCCTCTCTGTGAAAAATCAATAAAATATATTTTTTTAAAAATAATAAAAAAATAAAAGCTGAACAAATGGCAATTCTGACAAAGGGAAAAGCATGTACAAAGGTCTTGAGGCTGGAGGGAGGTCTAAAGGGATTGGAAGGGGCCAGGGTTAGAGTGGAAATGAGGGGAGAGCTACTGCAGGCTCGGAAATGGTCTTGAATTTTGTATCAAAAGCAAAGCACTAAAGGCTAAGCGAGGGCATGCTGTGACTGGAGGCTTTAAAAGTTTGGCTAGCTGCTGTCTGGAGACTAGATGGAGGAGACAAGGGTGGAAGTAGGGAGGTCAATTATCAGGCTGTTGAGGTTTGTGTAGGAGAGAAATCACGGTAACTAGAATGAGGGTGGCTACAAGAAGGGAAGGCAATAGAATTGGGATTTGTTCTGGGAATATAGGTGACTGGTTTTGCTGATGGGAATAGATGTGTGGGTGAGTGGACAGAAAGATCAGTTTTCTGGCTTGAGCAACTAGGAGATGGGGAAGACCAGAGACTAATGACGACTGGGTATCCAGAGCACGGTTTGGGATATGGAAACGATAGTAAGTTCCCTGGATGGAGATGTCAAGTAAGCGGCTGGTGTACAGGTAGAGCATAGGCTGGGCAGGAAAGGGCATGAAGGAGGCACAGCACTCTGTCTGGACCCACAGCCAAGGAGACAGGTGTGGGGAGGAGTCCAGGGAACCACTAAAGTCCCAGGCACCTTCAAAGCAGCAGCCAGGGAGGGAGGAAGGAAATCCTGGGTGTGAGCAGAGAGCCAAGAGGAAAGGGTGTGTGGGGCAGCAATGCAGTGACACAGGGTGCCCAACCAAGACTGGGACAGAAAAGGGGCTGCTCCTGGGACTTCCCTAGTGACTTTGACTAGGTTCTCTGAAGGAAGTGGAAAAGGTTGCAGAAACATGCCAAAACCAGTTTGGCTCAGTGGTAGAGTGTCGGTCTGCGGACTAAAAGGTCCCGGGTTCGATTCCAGTCAAGGGCATGTACATTGGTTGCGAGCACATCCCCGGTAGGGGTTGTGCAAGAGGCAGCTGGTCAATGTTTCTCTCTCATTGATGTTTCTAGCTCTCTATCGCTCTCTCCTTCTCTCTGTAAAAAAGCAATAAAATATAAATAAAAGGAAGAAAAAAGAAAAGGTTGCAGAAACACAGAGGTAGGAGTTGAGGGACGAATCCTGGGTTAAGTAGACAAGTCTGCTAAATGAAGGGGTATCAAAAATAGGGAGGGCCTTGCCGAAACTGGTTTTGCTCAGTGGATAGAGCCTCAGCCTGAGGACTGAAAGGTCACAGGTTCGATTCCAGTCAAGGGTATGTACCTTGGATGCAGGCACATCCCCAGTAGGGGGTGTGCTGGAGGCAGCTGATCAATGTTTCTAACTATCTCCCTTCCTCTCTGTAAAAAAAAATCAATAAAATATATTTTTTTTTAAAAATAGAAAGGGTCCTAGCTGGTTTGGCTCAGTGGATAGAATGTCCGACTGTGGACTGAAGGGTCCCGGGTTTGATTCAGGTCAAGAGCACATGCCCGGGTTGTGGGTTGTGGGCTCCATCCCCAAGAGGCATGCAGAAGGCAGCCAATGATTCTATCATTAATGTTTCTTTCTCTCTCTCCCTTCCTCTCCAAAATCAATAAAAATACATTTTTTTTAAAAAGTTTTTAATAGGGAGGTATTTGCAGGTGTGGGCTAGAAGCGGTCAAGGGAGGACAAAGAGGGCATCTGTAATACTTCCAACAATAAAGATAAGCTTTTAAAAAAATAGGGAGGTATTTGAAGATGGGTGTGGAATCAAGGAGTTTGTTTTTTAAGGCTGGAATGCATTAGCTCAGGGGGGCAGACTGTGCCATTCTAGCACCCTCCCTCCTCCCCTCAGCCCCCTCTGACCTTGACAGCTCTCTCCACATGGATCTTGGCATTTCTGAGCCGGCCCATGTGCGGAGACTCCTTGGACAATCCCTGCCAGAGGACCAGGGAACCTGCGGAGAGATGAGAAGTGGGGGCTCAGCCGAGCATCTCTCCTGGCCACCGATGCCCATGCTCCTGCTCCTTCTCTTCCTCTACCCCTCTCTATCCGGATGCCAACCCTCTATCGCTCTTCTCCCGACCCTCATTCCCTCCACCCAGTCTTCTCTCCCTCGTCAGTCACTACCCCCCTCGGGCCAGGGTGGGCTGACCCCATGGGCCTCACCGTCCTGCAGCGGGGCATCAAGGGCCGGGGTGTGCGGGGGCCCGAGGGGGCGCAGAGCTGCGGCGTCCTGGGCGGGAGGGCCGCGGGCGAGCGACTGGATGGCGCGGCTGCCAGCCAGGCTTTTGCCCCCAGCGTGAGCCCGGCTGGACCGGGCGGAGGCGGGTCTGGGCCATGGCTGCTTCTTTGGAGGCGGAAACTCCGGGAGGCGTGCCCAGGACCACGGGACGGGGTAACTAGGGCGCGGTTCGGGCGGCTGCGGCGGCCATTTGCAGACCCAGCCGCCCTCCAGGCGGCACCAGGCGGTGGAGCACGGGCGTCGGACGCTCAGCTCCCCGGCGCTCCGGACCAGCGCCGCCCGCGGACCCTGCATGCGCCTCACCGCGCTCCCGCGCCCTCCCGCTGCCCCACGTTCCGAGGCTCCGCCCTGTTTATTGTCGCCTTGGAAACCATTGATTGCCGCAATCGGGCCGCGGTTGGCTGGTTCCAGCAGGTGAACCCTTTTGAGTTTCACCTGCCCCGCTCTCTTGATGAGCCAAAGCACTGATGGCGGAAGCGCACAGCACCGGGTTGCCAATTACTATCCGTGCCACGGTTTCTCACTGAGCACTTCCTGGGGCTTCAGTCATACCACAGTATTTATAGAGGACCACGTGCTAGGCAGTGGGCTAGGTGATCCCTGACCTTATGAAGTATTATAGAACCCAGTGGAGAGGAAACAAAAAGGAAGCAACAAAGAACAGCTCTAAGTATGGTAAGGGCAATGAACTAAAGTCAGGAAAGTGGCATAGTTTGGGTAAGGCAGTCAAGGGTGTTCTCTGAAGAGCTGACACTGAAGCCAAAGCTTTACAGAATGCAAAGGTCAGGAGTTGGCCAGGGAAGAGGGGAGAAAGAGCATTCCAGGGAGAGGCAAGTCTCAGCAACAGCCCTGAGGAGGGTAAGAACCTTTCTGGGGAACTAAAAGGCAGCCAATGTGGCTGGAGCCTGGTGAAGTGGGATTGCATCTGCAGGGCCTGACAGATGGGGCAAGGAGCAGGTCCTTGGGGACAGATGTGAAAGACCTAAATGCAGAAAACAATGATCAAGTATAGAACACCCCCCCCCCATAACATGGAGATACAAAAACAGATCATCATTGTCAAATGCAGAAAAAAAATGTAACTGAATTTATGCACAGCTCTTAAGACAAGACTAAGCAACCTTTTTGGAGGTGGTGACAAAGTAGTATCTTCAAATCACAGGTGAGATAAATAAGACTCCAAGATGTTACATAATTTGCCTCATCACACAGAGCCAGCACTGGAATCCAGATCTGACTCCAAGGCCCCATGTTTAAACATAAACACTATTAACATGAGCCCATGTGACTATTACTCAAAGGGTTGTCTACTGGTCAGGGAAATATGGGTAATTTGAGAGCCAAACTAGCAGTGTCCATTTAAGTAAACCACAGGGAAGAGTACCTAGGTCCAAAAAGCCAGCTTTGTGTTGTCTCTGGCTACATCTGCCCATTCAGTGAAGGTGGGTCCTCCACCTACATGTCCAGCCAACCCCAACCACTCAGATCACTCTTCCCAATCCCCCATTGGCTGGTGACTGGGCTTCCCAAAAGATATGTCCCCAGGACAGGACCAGCTTAGTGGAAATCACCCAGTCTGTTCTCATCAGGGAGCAAATTTGGTTTTAGGGGTTCCAGATCAGAGGAGATGGATCCATGACAAGAGTTCTGGCTGGCTCACCCAGGCAATGCCGTCTTGTAAGTGCTGGGTAAGCAGCTGCCATACCTATAGTGGATATCTTCACTGTGAGCACCTTTAACATTCACTGCAAAGCTAGAACACAGCCTTGTGCCCCAGTTGAGGGCACACCTCATTCTGCAAGGCGGGAGGAAGAGGTCACAGAGGTAAGTCATAAAGGGGATGATAGCTCTCCAAGTTGCCCCCAGCCTCAGCCCTTCCTCCCTTTATCACCACCTTGTCCTCTACTTCAAGAGAACTGTTGGCCATCTAGAACGCTTTTGAAAGCTCAGCTCAAAGGCCTACCCTTGACACTCTTCTTGATATCCTTCTCCATAAATATATGCCCTGTGGGCCCCAAGACTTACACTAGTGAATATGAAACACTTCTGCACATCTATTTACACATCTGGCTTTTACTAGTCCCCCAAATCTCTCCAAGGCAGGGATGTCATCGCCCATGCCTAGCATGATGGAAGTTACCAGCTTTATCAGCTTGCATAGTGGGCTGGTGGAAAGATCAGCTATTGTTTTTTTAGTATTGGTATAGCAGGTATTATGTGAGATGGTTTACATTAATTATCTCTACTTTATAATTTACTCAAATTCAGCAGCAAGAGTTGGGACTCATACCAGGCTGGTATAGCTCAAGGGTTGAGCGTCAAGCCAGGAACCAAGAGGCCCCCAGTTTGGTTTCCAGTCAGAGCACATGCCCATGTTGCAGGCTCCATCCCCTGTGGGGGGGAGGGGCATGAAGGGTGCAGCTGATTGACGTTTCTCTCTCGTGGATGCTTCTAACACTCTCATTTCCTAATAAAACCAATAAAACATATTTAAGAGTTGGGACTCAAATACAAGCATTCCTGTTTGAAGTCTCTCCAAGTCCAGAACTGTCCAAACAGAGCTTTCTGTGATCATGGAAATGTTCTACATATGTACCATCTGACATGATAGGTATCAGTCACTGGTAGCTTTTGAGCACTTGTAATATTGTTGGTGGGACCACGTGAGTAAATCTTAAACCTTATTTAATTTGAGTAATTTAAATGTAAATAACCACACATTGCTACTGAGTACTGTCTTAGCACTGGTAGAGGCAGAAGTCTTGGATTTGAAGTCTACTCTCTTGCTCACTGGCTAAATTTGGGGCAAGCTGCTGTATCTCATGAACCTGTTTCCTTAGCCATAAAATGGGATCGCTGTCTCTACGAGGTTGGCTTTTAGCCCAAATGAGCTCATTAGGCAAAAAAGGACCAAAGCTCTTCATAGGTAGAGGTAAGTTTTTAAAATGGGTGGTGCCTAGACTGCAATGGAAGTCTCTGGATTAGGGCCCTAGGCAGGGATGTCAGGAACCATCATAAGATTGCCTCTGGTGGTGACCCCACACCCAAGTACCAGTCACGTGGTCTTAGGAAAGAAAAAGCCCCACCTCTTCACTTTTCACATATGCAGACAGAGCTCAGACCTCATGCAGCCCCAAAGGGGCAAGAAAAAGAGTTTAATCAGGGGAAGGGGAACCCACCAGAATAAGAAAAAGGTACAGCGAGCATGGGAGCAGAGAAGCCAGAGCAGGTGGGAGGGCCTAGCCAGGAATTTGGTAAGACTCACCTCTCCACCTCCAGCACAGGCACTGCACTGACAGACAAGGCAAAACAGTGGCCCCTCTCAGCTGGGAGGCCTTCAAGTGGCCCCTGTGGCCAGAGATTGCCTGGCTTTCCGGCTCCAGCTTTTAGGCATGGCTGGTGACCATTGGTTCAGCCCTTGTCCCCAACCAGTGCTGAGTGGCTAGTTTTAGGCAGAGCTCAGGAAGCTGGCCACTGCTTCTACTGGACCCAAGGAGGCTTGAGGATAAGAGGGCAAGGGAGAGGGACTGAAGCCTTAAACCTCCCTCCCTCCCTCCCCAGTGGGGTGACTTGGGGGAGGAACAGTAGTCGCTTTCTGGCTCCAGGCCCGCCCAGACCCACAGCGACCAATAAGGTACAATCACTGGGACCAGTCACAGCCACTGGAGGTGGAGGTTACTTGTTTAAAAAAAAGACAAAAAGGTTACAGTCTCCTACAAGCACAGTTTTAAGTTTCAAGACACTAAAAAAAAAATCCGTCCGCCCAGGGGACTGAATATCAGAAGCCAGCCTGACCAGGCACGTGTTGCCTTGGGGCAAGTTCACTGCTGCTCTGTCACCAGCTAGCAAGCGCACCACCCCCCCTCCCGCATTTAATGCCCACCCCAACCCAGTTCCCCTCCTCTGCTTCTGCTGTCGCTCTGAGAAGTGATTCCAGGACGCCTTTGCAGAGACACAGGAGATTCTGAGGGGGAAGGCCACGAGATCCAGCCAGATGTTAAAACTGTCAAGAAAACAAAGAAATGGTGAATGATGGTCACTGCTATATTCCAGTAGGCCTGCTGGGAGGGGGGGGGGGGGGATAAGGGAGGCTGATCTGAGAGCTGCCACTGCACTCAGACCTCTGAGGAGACTGGATTGGGTCCCAGGACATCCCCGTGGGCATGCTCTTCCTAGTGATCTTTGGGACACTGGTCCTAAACCTAGCACTAGACAAAGCAGAGAAATTAAAGGTGGTATGGGCTTTTCCACAGCTCCTTTTAGCCATGTCTCAGAGGCGGCTATAAAGCACTGTCACAGCAACTTTCTTCTTTAGAGATGCGAGGGCTTGGGGACCCAGAAGGCTCAAGCTCTGTGTGGTCTTCCAATCTAGGTCAGGCCCTTGACAAGTTTTCTGCCATCAAGTATCCCTCATGGTGCCAAGAACAGCCCTGGACATTTACAGACCAGAGGTTGTAGACCAATGAATGAATGGCTAAGACCCAAAATGAGCCCATAGAGTGTTTAAAAGAATATGACTTAGTTGCCAACCTTGAAAATATAGGAGACTATGGATACTAATCCAGACTTTGGGATCCTTTTTTAATTTTTTATTTTTTTGGTGGCAATTTATTAAAGAACAAGTACAGATTCCCACATGGGGAGGGGGAAATAGTCCCTTTTATTATTTTTTAAATATATACTTTTAGCCAAAACCGGTTTGGCTCAGTGGATAGAATGACGGTCTGCGGACTGAAAGGTCCCAGGTTCAATTTCGGTCAAGGGCATGTACCTTGGTTGCGGGCACATCCCCGGTAGGGGTTGTGCAGGAGGCAGCTGGTAGATGTTTCTCTCATCGACCTTTCTAGCTCTCTATCCCTCTTCCTTCCTCTCTGTGGAAAATCAATAAAATATATTTAAATATATATAAATATTTTTAAAAAAAATAAAATATACTTTTATTGATTACAGAGAGGAAGGGGATGGAGAGATAAATAGAAACATCGATGATGAGAGAGAATTATGGTTCAGCTGCTTCCTGCGTGCCCCACACTGGGGATTAAGCCTGCAACCCAGGCATGTGCTCTGACTGCGAATCAAACCATGACCTCTTGGTTCATAGGCTGATGCTCAATCACTGAGCCACGATGACTGGGCAAGACTTGGGAATTTTTCTGAAAGCTATAAGATGAACCTGCGTGATGATCCTCTTCAGGTGAGGCATGAGTTCACTAAGTCCTTACACAACCCACTTCACTCCTGTACATTACCTGCCTGACCTCTGCATACCCCTGAGTGTGTGACCCTGCCAGATGCCCAAGTGCTATTCTAGGATCTATGAGGGTGACACTTAGCTCCTAGTCCTGGTTCTCCTGCTTACTGAGGGATCCTGGGCAGGTGACTTTAAAATATATATATATTTTTATTGATTTCAGAGAAGAAGGAAGAGGGAGGGAGAGAGAGAAACATCCATGATGAGAAAGAATCATGGATCAGTTGCCTCCTGCCAGTCCCCCACTGGGGATCAAGCCCACAACCAGGGCATGTGCCCTTGATCAGAATCAAACCTGGGACTTTCAGTTTGCAGGCAGATGCTCTATCCATTGAGCCAAACAGGCTAGGGGTTGGCAGGTGATTTAACTTCTGGAGCCCCAGTTTACAGACCAGTAAAATGGGGATTAACCTGTAAAATGGGGGTTAACACCTGCCTCAAAGTTTGTATTGTTTTTTTTAACGTAGAGAGAGAAACGTTGATGTGAGAAACACTGATCGCCTGCCTCCTGTACATCCCACTACTGGGGATCATGTCCACAACTTGAGCATGTGCCCTGATGGGGAATCGAACCAGCAACCTTTTGGTGCATGGGACTATGCTAAACCAACTGAGCCTCTATGGCCAGGCAAAGATTGTTTAAGGTATTAAATAAGACATGTAAATTGCTTTTTGCTGCATAACTCTAAAAATGTAATTATCCTAACAGTGATTAGTGCATAAATGAGTTAAGTATTAAATTGGGGTAAGAACTATTTATTTTTCCTCAGTTGAATGCAAAGGCCTCCTAGAACCTTGGCCATAAAAGTTTGGTACAATATATAGAACACTTGCTATCTGCCAAGTGATATGCTTTACATACATTTCCTCATTGTTCAAAGACAATGAAACGTTCATTTTAATGACGCAGTGTCCTTATTTGGCTGCTGAGGAAACGGGCTTAGTTAAGAGGTTTGGTGTGAACCCTGGACTCACACCCAGGTGGTCTGACTTCATAGCCTGTGTCACCTGAATGAGCATGCTTACCCTGTGCGCACAGTACAGCCACTTTGTATGCTGGCTGTTCTCAATATAATTAAAGCCCAGGGGAAGCGGATGTAATTTCCATTTTTAGGAATCTGAGCTCCTTCTGGGCTGGCCTGTATGCACTGGTAAGAATAAACACTAAGTCTACCATTTAGGGATCACTGTCAGCTCTGAATGGAACATGTCAACAAACCGAAGATTGTTTGGAAGAAGAAAAAGAAGGCGGCATGTCCTGAATATCTAAACAAGAACAACTGTGTCATCAGTTCATCAATGTTTACAATTCCTCCTCTTCTGAGGACTGCAGTCCTTTTAGTTAGGAAGGCACAAACACTTGCAAAAAAATCCAGAGGATTTAGGCCAGGAACGTGATGGGAAACAGCTTGAAGAAATCATGGCTTGAAGTCTGAGAAACAGACGCTGAAGGAAAATATTTAAGTCTGTTAAGAAGTGGAATTACACTATGATTAACTGTCCTATATTCCTAGAAAATCCACATGTGGATTTAACATGCCTCACTTGGGGCTTGAACTATATATAGAGACGGACTCTACATTTTGAGGTATGGAATTTAGCATCTAAGATCCAATAAAAAAAAAAAAAAACTAAGAGAGAGGTATCCCCTAGATACCCAGTTATGGAAAATGCCCTGCACCTCTGAAAGATGAAGCTCATGTTCTCCAGCCCCAAGCCACCTGGCTGATTCGACACCCACCAAAAATCCTAGAGGCCTCAGGAAATATTCACACACTGGCACCACTTTCCTGCCAGATGCAAAATTCTAAACAGGCCCTATCTCTGGAAGGAAACCAGGAAAGCCCCTACTTACATTCTTAAGGAACTCCTCAGCTACAATACGGGCACGGGCGTTGACCGACAGCTTCATCTCACTGATCTCTTTGTCGATCTCCTCCATGAAGTGGATCACAAAGTCCACCAACTTGTGTTTATACATCTGCTCTGTGTGGAAGTTGGTGATCAGAAAACTGATGTCATAACCCTAGGAAAGGAAGACAGCAGGGAGGAAGAGAAAAAACAGATTAGCATCCCAGGGGGAACTGAGCTGGCCATGTCTTCTGGGTTCACACAGTCACATGCTTCTAGCTGATTGCTATCTTCTCTCAACTACACACCTTTCAATCAGTAGCCCACCTGCTCTGGTGGAGTGTCTATGTTGGATCCAAGCAATTGAACCCAGTTGAGTGTTTTGTGCATATCAGACGTCTCAGGAAGATCATCTGTGGCACAAATAGTAGCATTCAGAATGAATGAGTCAAGGGAGAGTGAAGAGACTTGAAATTTTGTTATAGAAGAATCCAATCAAACAGGGTACACTTAATCTGGAGAGAAGGGATGCTGTGGGAGAGAGACGGGATGGAGTCCAACTGTCAGAGAGTTTGTGTGTGGAAGAGTGATTTTACTTATTCTGGGTGGCCTCAGAGAGTGGGGCTAGGACCAGAAGATTTTAGCTCTGAATGAGGACTAGCTTGTCCAACAAGTCTAATGCATCTGGTGATGCTGCATGCTGCTCTGTGTGGGTGGTGTTGCTCAGTCACTGGGGATATTTTAAGTCAATATGACAGGGAGTCTATGGAGAGGACTCAAGTACAAAGTCAGCAACTGACCCAAAGTCAATTATAACCGTAAAAGACTATGAAATCAGCTAGTGGCGAGCTTTGAAAGGATTTGACTGTGTCCTTTCTGCTGCTACATTCTCAATTCAAGCAGTGGTTGTATGACCTACAACTAGAGAAGTAGCAATCCTGGTTCTAGAAACAATCCCATGTCAGTGACAGTGGACATTATGAACATGTAAATCAGTCTCACCTCCACTGGTTTCCTTCGAAGGATAAAGAAATTCTCTGCTCGCATCATCATAAAGCGCATGAACTTGTGGCATAAAATCTTCTCAATCTCATCAGCCTATTGAGAGCAAAGCAGAAACGTTTCCTTAAAGCTGATAACATAAACAAGTGGTCAGCAAACCGTGGCTCTCGAGGCACATGTGGCTCTCTGGCCCCATGAGTGTGGCTCTTCCACAAAATACCACGTACTCTAATTAAGTTAATAACAATGTACCTACCTATGTAGTTTAAGTTTAAAAAATTTGGCTCTCAAAAGAAATTTCCATCGTTGTATTGTTGATATTAGGCTCTGTTGACTAATGAGTTTGCCGACCACTGCCATAGACCTACAGAAACTTGTAGTCTAGGCTTCTGACCCAATTCCCCCAAGGCTCCCCAAAGCCAGAGGGGTTTGGGACTGGGAGCACTCACTGCCTGAACTTCGAATCATGGGGCACTTGGTTGCCAAGTGAAAGAAGGGTCTACAATATTAGATGCACTCCAACAGGGCATTATCATGATCTCATCTTTGTCCGTTCCAGAGAGGGAATTTTGGCAAACCTGAGTCTTCTATCCACTCCTTCCAGAGTCCTCATCTATCGATATATCCACAGATGCTATCTCTTTCTCATTTCACTAGTGCTACATTTCCCAGTCTGTGATATATCCACCTGGATTATCAGCGATAACCTTAGGTGGTCTCCGCTTTAATAAAACTGAACATGAAACAATTCCCAGTTTCTCCCTGCTGAACTTAAACATTTCTAAGAAGTAATTTTGCAGCTGGGTAATAGTATGCCCTGAACAGTCCCCAACACTTGAGAGCAGGCCCCATAGGTAGGGTTTCCTGTAGACAACAGAATCATTGTTTTCATTATGTTTATTTTTTAGTTCTCTCCATCTGGCAAGTGATATTGTTTTTCCACTTGTGACATAGCTTCTATTAGAGAAACTAAGTCAATTTAAAGAAATCTACTAAGTAAATAGGTCTCAAGATGGTACATAGATATGGCAAAAATTATGGGGATGCTGGGAAGGTCAGACATTTGTAAAACATCTGAGGAAATGTAAGAAACCCTAAATCTTACTCTCAGAGTTTATGACAATCAAATTGGTACTGGTACTATTTATTTTTCTGAACTGGACTTATTCTTCATTCCTTAGAAATGGTTCTATGAGCTAATACTAAACTGGTCCATGGCCTCGGCTGCTGCATTTCCTGACTTCTAATCCAGAGCAAGGCCTAGAAGATAAAAATTGCTCGCTCTTTAGTCTACCGATTTGCTGAGTTTGGCAAATCATTTTCTAGGTATAGCCAAGAAAACAGAGCCCACGTTTCCACCCACCCAGATCTCAGTGGGCATCCCTGGAGGCAGGGCTCCACAGTGAGCTCACCTGTTTCACAGCAATGCTGACCCGCACAGAGTTGATGGAGCCCTCAATCAGAACCTTTTCCTTCTCATTCCTGCTGATGGTCACAGGCTGTAACAGGAGCTCTTTGCTACTCCTGAAAACACAATGTCACAAAGGCTCTGTACTAGAGAACAGAATGCTCAGGGGGACCCCACACAGATCCTGAAATCACTTCCTGAGGCCAGAGTCCAAGGAACAGGAGACTCACAAGCAGGGCTGCTCCAAGATGGGGGCCAGTGGGTGTACTCTCCAATGGAGTCAGGGCAAAGAGGTTTTGAAATCCAGCCTCCTCTGTTATTTTCCTTGGGTAAGTTACCCTATTGGAATCTCAATTTTCTCATCTATAAAATGACTGACTCCTATTTCACTGGCAAGGACTGAGAGAGAAAAAAAGGGGTCAAGTGTCCAATAGCATGCCTGGCACATAGTAGGAGGACAGCTCTTACTTTAATACAGGCAAACTCACATACCATTTAAGGAATGAGAAGAGAGAGGATGCCTTGGAGAAAAGGATAAACTAACTCAGTCTGGCATCTTAATTATCAATCCCTAAGGATTCATTTATTCAGCAATAAGATCCCTCTTAGCTTTGGTCCCATTTTCAGGCTTCTGCATCCCTAGATCTATGTAATGGTAATCAACTGTGGTGGTAGTGTCTGTGAGCTGTTGTCACATTAAAATGCCTATTAGAGACTGGCTGGTGTGGGTCAGTGGTTGAGCGCTGTCCAGGTCACACATTTCAATTCTCGGCCAGGGCACACCGCTGGATTTTGGGCTCGATCCCCAGTGTGGGACGTGCAGGAGGCAGCTGATAAATGATTCTCTCTCAGCATTAATATTTCTATCTCTCTCTCCCTCTCCTTTCTTCTCTGAAATCAATAAAAAATATATTTTTTTAAATGCCTATTCGAAAACATATGTGTTAAGTAACATAACATGGCACATGCTAACATTTTGTTAATTTTTAAAAATTTAAATCGTATCAACATGTGGTAACTTTAGATATTGGTTTACAGGGGGCAGCTGATCGATGTTTCTCACTATCCCTCTCCCTTCCTCTCTGTAAAAAATCAATAAAATATATATTAAAAAAAAAAAAAAAAGAGAGAGAGATGCCAAGACTGGTTTGGCTCAATGGATAGAGCGTCGGCTTGGGGACTGAAGGGACCCAGGTTTGATTCCGGTCAAGGGCATGTACCTTGGTTGCGGGCATATCCCCAGTAGGGGGTGTGCAAGAGGCAGCTGTTTGATGACTCTCTCTCATTGATGTTTCTAGCTCTCTATCACTCTCCCTTCCTCTCTGTACAAAGTCAATAAAATATATTTAAAAAAAAAAAAAAAGAGAGAGAAAGAGAGAGAGAGAAAGAGAGAGAAAATATATCCCAAAATGCAGAATATTTGGAGATGAAAGAGTCCAAGTTGACTGGGAGGAAAAAAAAAAAATCATCCTTGATGTTTAAATTAGAAAAGAATGAAGACAGCATCTCAGATAACTAAATTCTCCATCCTCTCAAACTGCCCATGGGTTCATACCACAGGAGATACTTCACGAACAGCTCTATCTGAGAAGTCATACCTGTGCCAAGCAATCTTTGCACCAGACTAGCTTCTCCCCTGGGTTGTGCCCTGCTAACCCATTGACCCTGTTTTCTGAACTCCAAATTAGAAATTACTGTTCATTTGGCAGCAAGACAAAAAAGTTGCTGTCCTGACAACTCCAGAATGGAAGTTCATGGTACATCTAGCCATCTCTGAGCTGCACCCATCACCCCACCATGACCCTTTTCTTCCCTACCTGACTTCAACCTCCGGTTTGTTATGTCGTTCCACAACCTGGGAGGAGAAGTTCTCCAGGCAGAGGGCAGCCTGCAATGTGGCCCGCACGGCACTCAGGTAGGGACGGAGAGTGGCAGTCTGTAGAAAAAAACCCCGAGGATCAGCATCTATTTCACAAACCCATTGGCCCTGTGCTTTAGCTACTCAGGAGTCAGACCATACTGAGCTGGGCTAAGACACCAAAGTAAAGGTGCCTACCATTCTCATTTCCTGAGCAGATCTCATCAGGGGACCATTTTGCCTGCCAGGGGCACTCAACAATGTTGAGACATTGTTCAGTGGCACTACTTGGGATGGGGCATTATTGGCACTGAGCAGATAAGAGGCCAGACATACCCCTGAACATTCTACAATGTACAACAAAGAATTGTTCAGTCCCATATAGTGCTGAGGTTGAGAAACTCTGGTATAGATGCATGCAGGTGAATGACTGTCCTCTATCTTTTAAACCAACAAATGGATGTCTACTATGTGCCAAGCTCTGAGCTAGGTGCTGGAAACTTAAGATTATTAAAACTATCCCTACTTGCCAAAACCAGTTTGGCTCAATGGCCTGCGGACTGAAAGATCCCAGGTTCAATTCCAGTCAAGGGCATGTACCTTGGTTGCAGGCACATCCCCAGTAGAGGGTGTACAAGAAGCAGTTGATCAATGATTCTCTCTCTCATCGATGTTTCTTTCTTTTTCTTTTTTTTTAAAAATATATTTTATTGATTTTGTACAGAGAGGAAGGGAGAGAGATAGAGAGCTAGAAACATCGATGAGAGAGTCATCGATCAGCTGCCTCTTGCACACCCCCCACTGGGGATATTCCCGCAACCAAGGTACATGCCCTTGACTGGAATTGAACCCGGGTCTCTTCAGTCCCCAAGCCGACGCTCTATCCATTGAGCCAAACCGGTTTCGGCTCATCGATGTTTCTAATGCTCTATCCCTTTCTCTTCCTCTCTGTAAAAAAAATCAATAAAATATATTTAAGAAAAAAAATCCAAAACATCCCTACTCTTAAATAGCTCAATGGGGAGGAAAAACTATGATATAAAGGATCACTGACATAACTAAATTTATATTTGTAGAACAAATTGGCTTTGATTTGAAGATGGAAAAGGATTAGAATTTTACAATGAGAAAAAGAACAAGGGCTTTCCCACTAGAAGGATCAGCTTTAGCTACATTGGCTTATCTTCTTTTCCTTGTATTAGCCAAGTTCATTTCTCACCCCAGGGTTTCACAGATAGAATTATCTATCTGAAGGTTTTTGTATCCTCTTTTAAGTCATCCTTCAGATATTGGTTTACTCAGAGGAGGGAGGGCTCTTCCTCAGAGAACTTTCTTGACTTGCCCTTCAAAGCATTTCTTACAATTTACAGAAACATATCCTTCATACATCTTTAGTAAAATGATCTCTAGACTGCAAGCCTCATGATCAACAGACCATGTCTATTTTATTCAAATCTACATACCCTACACCTAGCTCAGTTAGTTCCTAACATACAGGATGGGACAAAAGTAGGTTTACAGTGTGAGTATACAAAAGTTTGTTCTTGTATTATTATTTATTAATGTATTATTTTCCACATGAACTGTAAACCTATTTTTGCTCCACCCTGATATAGTGCCTTATTCATTTCCTGTACAATGAATGAATGGATGAAATAACTTAAGCAAAGTTAGGATAACACAACAGGGTACTAAAGAGTTCCAGAAGTAGTAATGAATACAATGCTGCTGTATCTGAAAAATATTTTAGAATTAGTAAATGAGGCTGCAATGATAGCCTGGAGATTCATGGAGAATCTTAAATGCCAGGCTACCGAGTTTAGCTTTTTTTTTTTTTTTATGGTGGTAAGAAACGGCTGGGGAAATCTGAGGGGAAGTTGTACAACTACAGCTGCATGGAGGCTCTGTGGAGAATGGATTGGAGGGAAGTGAGACAGAAGGCAGAGACGTTACTAAAAGAGTGCTGATGAGAGCCTGGACTGGGGCTGTGGAGGAGATAAGCAGAGAGTATCACAGGGATTAGACTGACATAAGATGTAAATAATTATGAAATAAAACACCTCCCAACAAACTATGTTCCATAAACACAATGAAATATTATACTACTCAGCAATAAAAATTTTAAATGACCAACCCAGTGATGCCTGCCCTTTCACCATTAAAATAGTCTCACATAATATCTCAATAAACTTGATTAAAAAAAAAATTTTTTTTAATCAAGAGGTATGGGCAGTATAAGGAACATAGGAGGACAAGCAATTTTAAGAGAGAAGTGGAGTTTTGCTCTGGAGACCGAATGTCAAGGTATCTTCTAGATATCCAGGCAAACCTTTGAGAGAGTTGAGGAAGGCAAATTCAGGAGTCACCATAAAACACAAGGTCAAGAAAGCCAGCCTAGATATTTATCACTTAACTTCCGGAAACGCTTATCAAACGGGAGGATCTCCAGGGAGGAAGGGATCGGGAGGATCTCCAGGGAGGAAGATATCGGCAGTACCCGATCTTACATATTACACACTACAGTAAAGCTAACACAGTTAAGTTCTGACCAGGAAGAGGCTTGGGTGGAGGCAGCATAAGAGGTAGAAGCAAGGCAGGGGTAAGGAAATGAATGGGATACAGAAGTCTGGACGCTTCCCTTGGGAAACTGTGGAGTCAAGCACGCAGGGGGGAGCAGAGCAGTGTATTTAGTGAAGTTCTTCTATTCTGGGTGGGGAAGTGGCCCTACTACAGTACGCCTCAGCCCCTACAACGGGCTCTGGCCTACTATGTGCAGAGAGGCACTACCACGAGTCTAGGAAGTGCCACTCCTGGCTCCCTCCAAGCATCAAGAGTATTCTCTACCTGTCCCCGAGAGACAGATCGTGATGCCACCAGGCCTGCTGCCTACCAGGGCGTCACCCGCTGGCCCCTTCCTCATTCGGCCCCTACCCCGCCCCCTTCCTCCCAGCCTCGCCGTGCCCCCAACAGCCCCAGCATCCCTTGGCCCGGGCCTCTCCGCCGCAAAGCCGTATCCCCCCCCAAAACCCACAGTGTCAAGGGAGAACAGAGGGGCAAAGCGGGGGGACGGGGGAGGGTCCCTGGCAGGACACTCTCACCATCGCGGGCGCTGGCTGGGCCGGAAAGCGGAAGTACGGAAGTGGCCCGGCCCGGGACGCCTGCCCTTTCCCAGCCGCGCAGCCGCAGTCTCCGCCCAGACTTCCGGACCGTACCATTTGTGCTCCGGGCGGGGGAAGGCAAGCCTCGGAACACTTGGTCCTTTGGAATTCTTCCCGCTGGTCCTGTGTTGCTTTTTTTAGACTCTTGAAGTTTCATATAGATACTCACACTTCTCCTGTCCTCCATGAGGCTCTCGCTTTCAACCCTAACTTGCTTGGCTTCTTTGCCGCTTTCCCCCCCCGATAGTCATACAATGGTACAGCCCGGCCGCAGGTTGGGTACCGTATTTGGACTAAGCTAAGCCGAGACCTTCGCTTCTTCCGGTTCTGCGCCCCCATCCTTTCTCCCGGCCCCTCCTACCGGCAGCCCCAGGGGCTCGGCGAGACTAACCGTCAGACTGAAAACCCGGCCGCCGAGCCCCGCCCTCCAGCCCCGGCTGCTCCCTAGGGTAGACCCGAGGCATAGCCCTCACCCCCGGCACTGGGCTAGCGGGCAAGCGGGCGGCCAAGTCCTCCCCCGCAACCCTCGCCCTTCCGTGTCTCCGCCCCCGCGGCCACTACACGGCCCGCTCGCAGCCAGTTCCGGGTGGTGGATTCACCAACCGGAACTCCCCGCCCCCTGTCGCGACCCGGTGGTCGTAGGTGGCTGGGGTGAGGAGGGAGAGGGGGCGGGGGCCGCGTTAGGGGGTCCCGAGACGTCGGGGACCCTGAAGGCGGGGTATTGGGGCGACCCACGGGGCGGGGTGGGGGGGTGGGGAAACAGCCTTTAAGCAGTCCCACTTCTGTGCCAGTCACTGAACTGGGCTCTTGAGAGCATCATCTCTTAATCCTCAGAACATCCCGGGGAGGTAGGTACTGTTGTTATCCCCATTTTACAGATTCTGACTTCTTACGAGGAAACAAGACCCAGACTTCTCTGGTCCCCATTTTACAGATGGAAAAACCGAGACTCAGGAAGGTTAAATAAAATGATCAGTCACATAAATAGAGAATGTTAAAGCCTGGGTTTGGACCCTGGTTATGTCTGGCTTACCAGCCACATTCTTAACCATTGTCAGGGAGGGGTAAAGGTGGGGCTGGGTGAGACCAGACGAGGCTGCGAGGCAAAAATGAACACACTGTACGAATGGGATGCTCAGAACCCAGAGGCTTAGCAGAACCCAGGAGTAGTAGAGCAAAAGGGAAGAGCATCGGGAAGAGAGGCAAAGTATATCAAGGTGATGAGGCGCACAGATGCACAACCACTTGCATTCAAATTGCATTTTGGTAAGTTTGGGCCTGTACCCCCCTTACAGAGTCTCAGTTTCCTTATTTGTAAAATGGAGATCACATGGTTCCTGTTCAAGGGGTTTGAATTCAGTGAGAAGCTGGTAAGATGCCCTGTGCTTGGTGCACAGTAGGTGCTCTGTGAGTAGAAGCTGTGTTATCAACCTGTCAAAAAGGTACTGAAGTCTGGTTTTCTCCTTGATGCCCTCACGATGGAGTGAGCTCTTGGGCTTTTCTTGTGCCGTTTCATCTACCATCAATGGCCCTCTCCTCTCCAGCTCCCCAGGGTCCTGTATCCTAGGCCATGAGTGAACTGAAGGACTGCCCCTTGCAGTTCCATGACTTCAAGTCTGTGGACCACCTAAAAGTTTGTCCACGCTACACGGCAGTGCTGGCCCGCTCTGAGGACGATGGCATCGGCATCGAGGAGCTGGACACTCTGCAGCTGGAACTTGAGACCCTGCTTTCCTCTGCCAGCCGGCGCCTGCGAGTGTTGGAGGCTGAAACCCAGGTGATACCCTACAGAGAGGACATCACCAGGGATGGACTGTGACAAGTTATGGGTGGGTCATTCAGTTAGCCACATCTGCTAAAGCCTGGGGTACAGGAGGTTGGAGAGGGAAGGAGAGACCCAAATTAGGCTTGTGTGATATGCAGGAAGGTGGGTAATCCTCATAAACTGCAAGATTTTTAATTCACCGAGCATTTATTCACACACACACACACACACACACAGTATGTTGTGAGTGCTATGCAAATCATTAGAGAGAGGTCATTAGGACAATTCTGGCTTTCAGGGAGTTTGCCAACTAAAAGGAGGGTGGGTTTAGACAAGTACCAGATGATATGTTATGGTTAGGGATACTAGGGGTATGAGGAAACCTGCTTTTGAATCTTGGCCTAAGCACTTGCTACTGTTACTGTTTCCAGCTATGTGACTTTGGGAAAGTTACATTCTATTTCTGAGTATCAGTTCTCTATCTGTAAACAGGGCTGGAAAATAGGACCTATCACAGAGCTTTTGTGAGGATTAAGAGATTTTTTTTTTTTCTTTTTTTGCAAAGGCTCAGCCTAATGTTGTAAGCGAAGGTTTGCTGGGAGGCTTATTTGTCATCACCAAAAAGTTACCACCAGCATATTTTCCCAGAACTAACATGTACGGGGGTCAGTTGGCCTTTCTGCTAAGTTCTACAGAAGTGCATCAGAGTTCAGACAAATGAGTGGAATAAGTATATGAATAAAATCCTGAGATGGATACAGGAAAAGGAGCGAGTTTGAAGGATAAATAGTTTACTAAATAAAAAGGAGATGGGAAAAGACCTTGGAATCTCCTCAAGTTATAGATCCTAATTCTTTACTGGGAAAAGAGTTGTCCTGTGTCTTCCCTTCTCCCCCTCAGTGACAGTCTTTGAATTTCAGATCCTCACTGACTGGCAGGATAAGAAAGGTGACCGACGATTCATGAAGATGGGTCGAGACCATGAGCTTGGGGCTCCCCCAAAACATGGGAAGCCGAAGAAGCAGAAACTGGAAGGGAAGGCAGGACATGGACCGGGCCCTGGCCCCGGACGACCTAAATCCAAAAACCTTCAGCCCAAGATCCAGGAATATGAATTCACTGATGACCCAATTGATGTGCCACGGATCCCCAAGAATGATGCCCCCAACAGGTTCTGGGCCAGAGAACGTGGAGGGGCATTGGGAATCGGGAAGTGGAGACTGGAGAAGCCCTGGGCTGAGGCTTGTGGGACCTGGGTGCCCATTGAGGATCTGTTTCTCTCTGCAGGTTCTGGGCTTCAGTGGAGCCCTACTGTGCTGACATCACTAACGAGGAGGTGCGCACGCTAGAGGAGTTACTGAAACCCCCAGAAGATGAGGCTGAACATTACAAGGTAGAAAACCTGAGTCTCAACAAACGAGGTAGAAAACAAGAGGGCTCAGAGGTGCCTCAGAATTAAAGCTCCTAAAGCTATATATCATCTTCCTTTCCCTATCCTGTCCAGTCTCCTGTCTGCCCCATTATCCCACTCAGACATCCAGTCTGTCTCATCCTTCTCCCTGCATTGCCTCCCTTCCATCCCATCCGGATGGTTACTATCGGATTCAGGGAGGCTTTCTCTTGTTTGCACATCTCCCTCCCCTCTGCTTTGGTTCAAGACTTCCATCAGCTTTCACCCAAACAGGTTCTTAATACTTCCTGCCTCCAAAGGGGCCTTTCTTTCATTCCTTAAAAGAAAATGTAGAAAGTAGAAGTGTTGGGGGAACTCTCCCAGAGGTCCGCGGTCATGCTCAGATGTGTGTGACACGACCCTGCTCCCGGTCTTCTGGCTCTCATTACCCTCAGGATCGAGTCCAAGTGTCTCAGTCCTTGGTGGCACGGCCCCAGCACCCCTCTCCAGTTTCATTGGTCGCACTCTCTCTTCACTGCCGCATTCACCAGCCCCACCAAGCACCTCACCCTTACTCCTGACCCCCACAGGATCCTTGCTGGGCTCAGGGCCTCTGCATATGCTCTCCTTCTCTTGGCACACTGATTCACCGTTCAAACCCTGACCTTGTGTTACCTTCACCAAAACTCCTTTGCAGATTCCCCAGCAGAAAGTTGGTCTCTCTTAAGGGCTGCCACAAGACTTTGATCTACCTCTGTCACGTCGCTTGTCTGAATTCTTTTAAAATGTATTTGAAAAAGTAATTCATATAAGCAGTAGTAAATTCAAGCAATACAAAAAAGAATTCCTTCTCCTGACCCCACAGTCTCTCCTACAGATCCCGCCCCTGGGAAAGCACTACTCCCAACGCTGGGCACAGGAGGACCTGCTGGAGGAGCAGAAGGACGGAGCCCGGGCCGCAGCTGTGGCTGACAAGAAGAAAGGCCTCATGGGGCCACTAACTGAACTCGACACTAAAGGTAGGCCCCTTAACTTGCTGCCTACCCCAGGTTAGGACTTGAGTTCCCAAAACTCCAGACCAGTTACCCACTACTCTGCCTGCTTCAGATGTGGACGCCCTGCTGAAGAAGTCTGAGGCCCAGCATGAGCAGCCCGAAGATGGATGCCCATTTGGTGCCCTGACACAGCGCCTCTTGCAGGCCTTGGTGGAGGTGAGCACCCCAACCTAAAACAGCACCCACATTTACTTTCTATTTCTTTCTTTTTTTTTTTTTTCTTCCTTTTTTTATTGTTAATGTATTACATCTGTCTCCTCCCCCTCACATTGACCGTCTCCACTCCTGCCACTCCCACCTCTGAGGGCAAGCCCCCACTGCCCCAGTGTCTTTGTCCATTGGTTATGATAATATGCATGCATACAAGTCCTTTGGTTTATCTCTAACCCCCATTCCTTCCCCTGCCCCTGTCTCTGGGTCTATTTTTGTTCATTAGTTTATGTTGATCTTTATATCCCACATATGAGTGAGATCAGGTGATATTTATCTTTCCCTGGCTGTCTTATTTTGCTTAGCATAATGTACTTTCTATTTCAATGTTTGCTTTCCTCCTCCTCCTCCTCCTCCTCCTCCTCCTTCCTCCTTCCTCCTCCTCTTCATCCTCCTCCTCCTCCTCCTCCTTCTTCTTCTTTTTAATCTTAGAGTGAGGGAGAAAGGGAAGGAGGGGAGAAGGGAGGGAGGGAGGGAGAGAATGTCAATGTAAGAGAAATATCAACTGGTTGCCTCCCACATACACCCCAACTGGGGACCGAACTTGCAATATGGGTATGTGCCCTAACCTGTAATGGAACACGCCACCTTCTGGTGTATGAATGATGTACCAATCAACTGAGCCACACCAGCCAGGGCTTATTTATTTTATTTATTATTTTTTAAATATATTTTATTGATTTTTTACAAAGAGTAACTGAGAAGGATAGAGATGTAGAAACATTCATCAGCTGCCTGGTGCACACCACCTATTGGGGATATGCCCACAACCAAGGTACATGCCCTCGACCGGAATCGAACCTGGGACCCTTCGGGTCGCAGGCTGACGCTCTATCCACTGAGCCAAACCACTTATTTCATTTTTTATTGAAGTATATTATACATTTATAAAAGTATATAGGTCTTAAATTTATAGCTTTGTAACTTTTCACAAATGAGCACTTGTATAATAAAACATTACCAGTATCCTGGAAGCCCCTCCCAGTCTCTAACCTCCCCAAAGGTAACCACTACTTCACAGTTACTTGAGTGTTGGCTAAGGGCTGAGCCCCGTGCAAGTGACTTTCCACACACCCTCTAGTTGGAGGCAAGCACAGTGGTTAGCCTCATGTTACACACAAGAAGATTGAGGCTCAAAAAAAGGGGAACTGTTTGCTTGAGGTCCCACAGCTAATACATAGAAGCAGGACTCAAAGTCCAGGTTCAGGGATCCTTTTCTGTATGCTCTCTGTCTGACCTTATGCACATCTCTTCACCTCACTGAGCCTTGCTTTCCTCTCTGGCCCAAACACAATAGTGTATTTCCCTCTCATGTAACAGCCTCAGACACATGCTCAGGTTGGCTGAAGGGAAGAGAGGGTCTCTGTCCCACACCACCAGACAGGGACACCAGCTGTGGTGACTTTGCCATCTTAAATATGCATTCTGCATAAGGTTACTCTGGGTGTGATTGACAGTCGAAGCTCACAGAAAAAGAGCCAGGAGATGTGTATGAAGGAAGACTAATGGGCTATGACAGGCTGTAGCTTTTGTCTCTCCTAATCACTTTCCACTGGAAAGAATTTGTCACATGACTACACCTGACTGCAAGGAAGGCTGGGAAGTATTGTGTATGTGGGCAGCAATAAGCCTGGCTACTATGGAAGAAGGGCAAGAATGGCTTTGGCCTAGACAGTGTGGCTCAGTGGTTGAGTGTCCACCTATGAACCAGGAGGTCACAGTTTGATTCCCAGTCAGGGCACATGCCCATGTTGCAGGCTCATATCCCCAGTGTGGGGCATGCAGGAAGCAGCTGATTAGTGATTCTCATCATTGATGTTTCTATCTCTCTCCCCCTTTCTCTCTGAAGTCAATAAAAATATATTTTAAAAAAAGAAAAGAAAAGAAAAGAATGGCTTTTGGACAGCTAGCAGCCTCTGCCACAATGTGCTTAGCACAGTGCCTGTTGCATTGCAAACATTTAATAAACCTTAGCTAATATTACTATCATTGAGTGCTATCTTTGTTCTTCTGTGCTCCCTTCTTTTGGAATCAGCATAAAAAAGAGATTCCTAAAATGATCAAAGCTTTTTGGAGGCTGGAAAGGCTTTCTGGGCAGGGTGGGATCAGAAATATAAAAGGATGTTTTTGGCCTATGAAGGTCAGAGGGGAGCGGGAAAACAGAAATACTATAGCTCTTTATCTTCCATTTATGTGGTCTTCCAGGAAAATATTATTTCCCCTATGGAGGACTCTCCCATTCCTGACATGTCTGGGAAAGAATCAGTGACCGATGGGGCAAGCACCTCTCCCCGAAATCAGAACAAGCCTTTTAGGTAAGTGGCATCTTATCCACACCTCACAGTCTGGCTCCTATTTCTGTTCATCCTGACATGGGGAATTCTTAATTACTAGAGAGGCCAAGGGCAGTTTGAAAAAGCCCAATAAAAGTTTCAAATATGCATGCTGGCCCAGCATTTCTGCATGCACAGACTTAGTATAAGGGTTGTTAATCAGAGCACTGTTCTTATTGCCAACAACTAAATATCCAGTTGAAGGTTAGTGGTTGGCTAAAATTTCATTACTCCCTGTATGATAAAATAATTTGCAACTATTAATCATGTAAGAGAAATATAGCTAATTGACATGAAAAGATGTAAACAGTACAGTGTTAAGTGGGGAAAATGTCACTTGTAGCACAGTGTGGTCCTTGTTTTATTTAAGATATATTTAAATGTGTGTACATAGGGAAAAGCACAAATGATCTATGATAAAAGACTGGAAATAATATATAACAAAATCTGGAATAGCCCAGCCGGTGTTGCTCAGTGGTTCAGTGTTGATCTATGAATTAGGAGGTCACCGGTTTGATTCCTGGTCAAGGCACATGCTCAGGTTGTGGACTCAATCCCAAATAGGAACTCTGCAGGAGGTAGCTGATCCATGATTCTCTTCATCATTGATGTTTCTACCTCTCCCTTCCACCCTCTCCCTTCTTTGAAGTCACTAAGAAAATATATTTTTAAAATCTGGAGAGTGTGTGTGTGTGCGCGCGTGTGTGTGTATCAATCACAGCAGTCTCCCCCTTATCTGCAGTTTTACTTTCCCCAGTTTTCTGTTAACTGTGGTCCAAAAATATTAAATGGAAAATTCCAGAAATAAACAGTTGTAAGTGTTAAATTTTGTGCTGTCGTGAGTAGCATGATGAAATCTTATGCCATCTGAAATCTCATGCCATCTGCTCCATCCCACCTGGGATGTGAGTCATTCCTTTGTCCAGCATATCCACATTATATCCTCTATCTACCCATTAGTCACTTAGTAGCCATCTCAGTTATCAATTGGTTATCAGAGATCACATTCACATAACTTATTACAGTAAATTGTTATAATTGTTCTATCTTATTATTGTTGTTAATCTCTTACTGTGCCTAATTTATAAACTAAACAGTATCATAAGTATGAATATATAGAAAAACAGTATATATAGGGTTCTGTACTATACTGGTTCCAGAGAGCCACTGGGGGTCTTAGGAAGTATCCCTCACTGATAAGGGAGGACTACTATGTGTGTGTAAAATAACATAGAAAAATAATGTTAATATAACAAAATAATAGTGTTTTTCTTTGGGTTTTTGACTTTATAAGTTTTCCTATTTTTTTGGCAATGGATATATGTTGCTTGTGTTTGAAACAAGACCATATTTGCTTGTCTCTATATTTTTATATCTACATAGATATAAAGGGGGTGCCCAAAGAGAAGGTGTTCACTAACCTTGGACACGTCCAAGGGATCCCCCTTCCAAACTGGCCCTTGAGCTGAGGGCTGCCTTTCCCTGCAGTGTGCCCCACACCAAGTCCTTGGAGAGCCGCATCAAGGAGGAGCTGATCGCCCAGGGCCTGCTGGAGTCTGAGGATCGCCCCGCAGAGGACTCAGAGGATGAGGTCCTCGCTGAGCTGCGCAAACGGCAGGCCGAGCTGAAGGCACTCAGTGCCCATAACCGCACCAAGAAGCATGACCTGCTGAGGTGAGTATGGATGGGTGTATGGGCCAGGGATTGACCAACAAGGCCTTGGCCACTGCTTGTCACCTTGTGGGGACTTAACAGTAGGCTTCCAAACCTGGCAGGCCTCTAAATCACCTGAAGAGCCTTGAAAAATTGTCAGTATCAGGCACCATCCCACAACTTATGTCTTAAATAGATTCTAATTCGCAAAGACTTCAGTAATTTATTCATTTACTTATAATTGTGGTGGGAAAATATGTAATATAAAATTGACTCTTTATATCCATTTTTAAAGTGTTAACTATATTCACATTGTGTGATTTATTTATTTTTACTACACTTGATCTTAGCCAAAAGGCTAAGAAGCGATGATGATTTATTTATTTTTATATATTTATTTTTACTTCAGAGAGAGGAAGGGAGAGAGAGAAACATCAAAGATGGGAGAGAATCACTGATAGGCTACCTCCTGCACACTGCCTACTGAGGATCAAGCCCTCAACCTGGGCATGTGCCCTGACTGGGAATCAAACTGTAACCTCCTCATTTGATGCTCAACCACTGAGCCACCAATGGCCAGGTGTGATTTATTTTTTTAAATCTTTTTATGTTTATTTTCTTTCTCCCCCAATGTTTTTTTATGAAAAATTTCATACACACAGAAAACCTGAAAGAGTAGTACAATGAACATCAATATATTCTTCACTTAGATTTATCAACTGTTAACATTTTGTGATTATTATTGGCCCTTCATCTGAAACTACCCAGTTATTTAGAACCAGTTCTTTAAGGAATTGGTCACAATGTCAATTGTTTTATATTAACTCTCATCTTTTTTTCTTTTTAATATATTTTATTGACTTTTTAAAGGTTATAGGATATTTTTTTAAAATATACTTTATTGATTTTTTACAGAGAGGAAGGGAGAAAGATAGAGAGATAGAAAAGTTGATGAGAGAGAAACATCGAACAGCTGCCTCCCGCACACCCCCCACCGGGGATGTGCCTGCAACCAATGTACATGTCCTTGACTGGAATCGAACCCAGGACCTTTCAGTCTGCAGGCTGACGCTCTATCCACTGAGCTAAACTGTTTTCGGCTAACTCTCGTCTTTTGCCCTGAATTTGTCACAAGGGTATAGGTGACATCTGGAAGGAGACCATGGTAGTGCTGCCCTTTTATTGAGGAGATAGAGAAAGCAGCTTAACTAAGTTTCCTTGCTTCTCACAGACAGATGCTAACTCCTTGCCTCACAAAGCCCCAACCGTGCAGGGCACACTCATTCATTTGGCCAACTCTGCCTCTCTCAGATGTGCTAAGGCCAGCAAGAGAGGCAGAGCAAAGGGCTTGCAGTCCCCAAGTGGATTATTGGTAAAGATGTGCACCATTTGCCTGACCAGTTTGGCTCAGTGGATAGAGCTCAGCCTGTGGATTGAAGGGTCCCAGATTCAATTCCTGTCAAGAGCATGTACCTTGGTTGCGGGCACATCCCCAGTGGGAGGTGTGCAGGAGGCAGCTGGTAGATGTTTCTAACTCTATCCCTCTCCCTTCCTCTCTGTAAAAAATCAATAAAATAAATTAAGAAAAAAAAGAAAAAGATGTTCACCATTAAAAGGAGTGGTAGTTGCTGACTAGCTGCTAGGGTGTTTAAGGATAGGGGTTTGTGTACAACCTCCTCTTTAATGTTGACTATAGCCCAGGGACAGGTGTATTTTCCCTGTTTACCAGATGAGAAAATAAAGGCCTAATCAAACGAGTGCCCTGCTGAAGGTCACACAGCCCATAAACAACCAAGATGTGACTTGAGCCCAAGGCTGAATTCAAAGCCTCTTTCTAGTTCCCTCTCTAGGGCAAGAAGAGGAAATTACAGTTGAAAGAAATACAAGGAAGGGAGGGGGTGGGAGAGCGAAGTAGAGATGTGCAGATACAGAATTAAGGGGTAGTGAAAGAACAACCTTGGGGCTATCAGAAAGCTAGAGTGCAGGTCTCCTTCCCTGAGCAGCCACTCCCCTTCTGGAAAACTACCAGATTGGAGTAGATCATATCTCTAAGTAACATCCCAGCTTCACCATTAATGGGATTCATAAATTGGATTCTATGCAGAGAGGTTAGTTTGGCATCTCACCTGCCACCTGTAGACCTTCGGCTGCCTGGATCCTAAGGTTGCTCTGGAATTTGGATGCTGAAGCAAGCAGGTACTCTGCTGGCACAGAGCACCTTTAAAAGATTGTTTGAAGCCTGCCTGCCTTAATTCAGATCTCCCACTCACTAGTTGTAGGATCTTGGAACATTTATTAACCTTCTTGAGCCTCAGTTTCGTCACTGGTAACATAGGAATAATTAATGTTACCTACCTCACAGGGTTATGAGAATTAACTGAGCTAATAGTTTTGAAGAGCTTAAACTAGTATTTATTTACCACATAGTACATATAAGTATGGTTTAGAAACTTTGCTTTTTGGTCTGAATAGTCCATAGGAGTGCCAGCCTGGGATGGTGGGTGGACTCAGTCTGGACATGGGCTTCCCATGACACCTGGCTGGCTGGTCCCTACAGGCTGGCAAAGGAGGAGGTGAGCCGGCAGGAGCTGAGGCAGCGAGTCCGGATGGCAGACAATGAGGTCATGGATGCCTTCCGCAAGATCATGGCTGCCCGGCAAAAGAAGCGGACTCCCACCAAGAAGGAGAAGGACCAGGCCTGGAAGACTCTGAAGGAGCGGGAGAGCATCCTAAAGTTACTAGATGGGTAGCCCTCACCCCCACCTCAGGCTCACTTCCCCTGGCCTGGGGAAGAAAGGGGAGGGAGGCCCACTTCCTTCTTTGGGCGGCTGGAAGCCTCGGCCTATGGCTGACTTTTCAAATGTCCTATGGCAACAGTCTCTAGAGGACGCGGCCTTTCCCTGAGGTCCTTCGGCCGAGCTCTGTGCAGCCAGGACACGGGAGGCCCAGCTGGCCTGGCCTGGAGCCAAGTCTCTGCTTGGTCCCAAAGATGAGGGAGTCAACATTTCTGGGCCTTTCTCTCCTCCCTCCTTCCCATCCCCCAGCCCTTCACCCCTACCTGTCTCTCCCTCAAGGACTTCTCCTTTGTGGTTTTGTAAAGTGCAAATTTAAGAATAAAGTAACTGCTGTGTTTTTTTAAAAAGCATCCAGAATATTTGAATGTCTATTATTGTGGGGTGCAAAGGTTTAAGAGAGCATGCGTGGTAGCTCTTGCTCTTGGGCCACTAAGCCCATGAATGCATTCAGGAAGTACATTCTGAGGATACTTGTGGCTACAACACTCCCAGCTCAAAGTGGACTAACAACAAGGAAATATGTTAGCTAGGGGCTTGATGGTCCTGATGCAGAGTGGATTCCAGGGTTGACCAATCCAGCAATTCAACAGGGCCATCAAGGTTCCAGTGTCTCCACACTGTCTTCCTTGGTGTCAGCTTTCACCTAAAGTATGTTCCCGTCCAGCTGTTTAGTGGCAGCCAGTAGCAATGGACAGAGGCCAAATGCTTCCTCATTTACAGTCAGCACAAGAGAGGGCAGGAAGAAGCTGGCTCCCAGGGCCTACTAAAAGCAAGAAGCCTTTCCAGTCCACCCTATTATGTCTTGTCCAAATTAAGCCTCACATACCCATTCCTGAACCAACCACTGTGGCAAGGGATGCCTCTGAGTTTAAGTATCTGCTTTCCCTCTAAGCCCAAGATAATGGGAAGAGAGGGTAGAATCCATCAAAGATCTGAGTAGGAAAGAGAAATGGATGTTGGATAGGCCACCAACAGTGTCTCTTCCACAGCCTAGGCAGGAAGCTAAGCCTGGGGAAGCTAAGCCTGATGAATAAATAGGTTCTTATCCATGCCTCAAATTGTGAATAATTTGCAGATCCACATGGGAAAGAAAGGAAGATTCCCTGAAGAAATGAACAGAGCCATAAAGATAAAGATGGGAAGCTCTGACTGGTGTGGCTCGGTTGGGTGTCATCTTATGCACGGAAAGGTTACCAGTTTGATTCCCAGTCAGTTCTCATGCCCAGGTTTTGGGCTCAATCCCCAAAAGGGGTGTGCAGAAGGCATTCTTGTATACTCAGCAGCTATGTACTCAAGCCATTCCATGTAGCTCTTGCCGGACTGTCAAATTAGGGTGGACACATGACCCCAGCTAAGCCAATCATAGCACCCATACCTATAGCCACAATGATTGGTCCAAAGAATGGGCATGGATCCCAGCTGGGCCAACCAAAGGTCTTCCATAAGATTGCTCTAGGAATGATGAGAGAAGAGGATTGCTCTTCTTTTGTATTAAAAGCCATAGAATGAAAAAATAAAAACAAAAGCCATAGAATGTTAAGGTTGAACTACCTGGTCACTCACTTTCCTGTCAAATGAAAGAACCTACCTGAGAATATAACTAATGCAGAGGAGCAGAGCCAGGAGATGGAGGAGACAGGGTCTATGTGATATAGTTAGAGCCCTGGGCCCTCCATTGGATCCTCCAATTACATCAGCCCACAAATGCTTCCTTTAACTCGAGCTAGTTAGCTTTGGAGTTTTGTCATTTGTCGACTAAAAAAGATCTGACTAATAAAAGTGAGTTTTGGCAAAAAGAAGGATGAAGTATGATCCTAAGAGAGAGAACAGCAGGAGGACTTGATTTCCACTAAGAGCAAGGCCTAGCTGCCGCAGTTTTTCAGTGACTCATTGTCCCCATGTTTATAGCCTTCTCAGAGAGAAAATGATAGCTCTGTACCAGCCAGTATTTTAAACTCATTAAACTACTGAATTTTCTCAACTACCCCATTTGGTAGGTACTAACAACATCCATTCTCAGATGAGGAAACTGAGTTTTAGGAGGTTAGGTCTCTTGCTTAGTCAAACAATTGGTAAGTGATTGAGCCATGATTCAAACTCAGTCCATCTGACTTGCAGACAGCTCTTTATTACACAGCTCGGTGGGGCCTCACTTCCCTACAAGGCTCTGGAGAATGTAAATGGTACTCTTAGGCTTGGGCAGTGCACAATCTGTAACCATGGCATCCCTGCTTGCAGACCCTCTCCCACCCCTGAGGCCCCCAAATTAGATAAAATTGCTAGAAGGGGAAAGTAGATATTATATAATCATACACTGCATAATGATGTTTCAGCCAATAACATACTGCTTATATGACAGTTGTCCCATAAAAAGAACCTCCAAGAAAATTCACAGTGAAGGGTTTAGCAGAAGCTTTTGCAGACCTCAACAAGCTCCTTAAAAAGTCTGAAAACATGGCCGAAACCGGTTTGGCTCAGTGGACAGAGCGTCAGTCTGCGGACTGAAAGGTCCCGGGTTCGATTCCGGTCAAGGGCATGGACATTGGTTGCGGGCACATCCCCAGTAGGGGGTGTGCAGGAGGCAGCTGGTCGATGATTCTCTCTCATCGATGTTTCTAACTATCCCTCTCTCTTCCTCTCTGTGAAAAATCATAAAATATTAAAAAAAAAAAAAAAGTTTGAAAACATGGACCCCAACACCAAAAGGGGAGGGGTGGGAGAGGGAGAGGAAGAGGGGAAGTGGGATGGGGAAGGGAAGGGTAGGGGGAGGGTTCCCAGCCCCTGCACACTCTGGAGAACGAACTCAGTGTATTTGGGGTCCCAGATGATTCCTGCTAAGAAGGGACAGATGGCTGAAACTGGTTTGGCTCAGTGGATAGAGTGTCAGCCTGTGGACTGAAAGGTCCAGGTTCAATCCCAGTCAAGGTTAAGGACATGTACCTTGGTTGTGGGCACATCCCCAGTAGGGGGTGTGCAAGAGGCAGCTGATCGATGATTCTCTCTCATTGATGTTTCTAACAATCCCTCTCTCTTCAATGTTTCTAACTCTCTAACCCTCTCTCTTCTTATCGTAAAAAATGAATAAAATATATTTTTTTTTAAAAAAAGAAGAAAAAGAAGAAGGGAGAGATGATGGCTAGTACTTGGAATTTTAAGGAAACCTGATAAGAGAGTAAATTCCTTATCTGGGGCCTAGAACTCAATGGACAGAACCAAGCACAAATGGACCATGACTCATTTCTTTGTATAATAGCTCATCATTTCATCTCTTGACTCTCCTAGTTTAGTCACTCCACATACCTTCATTTTCACATTCATACTCTTGTTTCCTCACTCAGTGACCCTGTTGCTATGGCTGAGAGCTTTGTAGGTGACTAAGGCTCCAGATACGGGAAGACAGACAAAAACATAAAGCAGTAATAGAAGAATGTAAGGGTCTGCAGGGTCATCAAATGCACCAGGGAGTGTGTGAAAAGGAAGGTGCTGGGGCAGCAGACATTCCAGACAAAAGAAACAGCAAGGTATAGAGGTGTGAACAGCTGGCCTGATGAAAACTTCAGTGTGACTGGAGGCCTGGGTAGAGGGGGAGGGAAAGAAAAAGAAATGAAGCTAGAAAGTAGGTTGAGACCAGGCTGGAGCAGGTTGTGAACGGCAGATTAAGAAGCATGGGCTTAATGTTTTTATTTATTTTAGAGAGGAAGGGAGAGGGAGAGAGAAACATTGATGTGAGAGAGAAACAGTCGTGGGCTGCCTCTAGCATGCCCCCACTGGGAAACTGAGCCTGAAACTCAACCAGGAATCTAACCAGTCCCTCTTGGTGCATGGGACAATGCTCAACCAACTGAGCCACATTGGCTAGGGCAAGAATCATTGGCTTTATTTTTGAAGTCAATGTTTCTCAAAATGTGGTCTCTGGACCAGTAGCATCAGCATCACCTGTGAACCTAATAAACACAGATTCTCAGGTCTCATACCTAATGAATCCGAAATTCTGTGGCCCAGCCTTCTCTGTTTTTTGTTTGTTTGTTTGTTTGCTTGTTTTTTCTTATTGGGGTGACATTGGTTAATAGGGCCACATAGGTTTTAGGTGTGCATTTGTATGTTACCAGATCTGCATCTTGCACTATGTGTCCACCACTCAAAGTCAGATCATCTTCTGTCACCATATATTAGGTTCTCTTCACTCCCTACCCTTCCACCGCTTCTCTCTGGCAATCACCACTGCTGTTTGTATCCCACATATGAGTGAAATCTTATGATTCTAGCTTTTTCTGCCTGACTTACTTCACTTGAGTAATATTCTCTCAAGGTCTATCCATGTTATTGCAAATGACAGTATTTCGTATTTTCTTATGCCAGCCCTCTCTGCTTCCATAAATCCTCCATGCGATTCCTGATGCATATTAATGTTTGGGAATCACTTTTCTGGATAGTAGGGAGCCAGGGGAGGTTTGTGAGTAGGGGAATGCCATAATAGCACTCTGAATCAGAAAGCACTTCTGATAGCAGCATGGAGGCTGGACTGAGGGACTGAAAGTGAAATTGTGGCAGACGGAAGTAAAAATTATGTGCAAAGAAATACATCTGAGCAGCTGCCAGGCTGGGAGCGGCCAGGCCCGGGGGAGCAGGCGGGTCGGGTGCGGCCAGGCCCGGAGCAGCAGCTGCCAGGCTGGGAGCGGCCAGGCCCGGAGCAGCAGCAGCCAAGTCCAGAGCAACTAGGTCAGGAGCAGCAGTGACCAGACCCGGAGCAGCTGGTTGTGGAACGAACCAGAGCAACAGAGGCCAGGCCCTGAGCAGCCAGGCCCGGAACAGCTTGCTCCTCGCCTGCCCCTGCCCCATGGCTGCTTCTCAGACATGGCTGGAAACTTTCGTGGGAACTTGAGGGTCTGCTGAATCAAGTGATGAAGGCTTAGATCTGGATGTGTTGAGTTAGTATAGGGCTGGGGTGTTGATCT